GGGACAAGATTGTAGACCTACACAAGGCTGGAATGGGCTACAAGACCATTGCCAAGCAGCTTGGTGAGAAGGTGACAACAGTTGGTGCGATTATTCGCAAATGGAAGAAACACAAATGAACTGTCAATCTCCCTCGATCTGGGGCTCCATGCAAAATCTCACCTCGTGGAGTTGCAATGATCATGAGAACGGTGAGGAATCAGCCCAGAACTACACGGGAGGATATTGTCAATGATCTCAAGGCAGCTGGGACCGTAGTCACCAAGAAACAATTGGTAACACACTACGCCGTGAAGGGCCGAAATCCTGCAGCGCCCGCAAGGTCCCCCTGCTCAAGAAAGCACATATACATGCCCGTCTGAAGCTTGCCAATGAACATCTGAATGATTCAGAGGACAACTGGGTGAAAGTGTTGTAGTCAGATGAGACCAAAATGGAGCTCTTTGGCATCAACTCAACTCGCCGTGTTTGGAGGAGGAATGCTGCCTATGACCCCAATAACACCATCCCCACCGTCAAACATGGAGGTGGAGAACATTATGCTTTGTGGGTGTTTTTCTGCTAAGGGGACAGGACAACTTCACCGCATCAAAGGGACGATGGACGGGGCCATGTACTGTCAAATCTTGGGTGAGAACCTCCTCCCCTCAGCCAGGGCATTGAAAATGGGTCGTGGATGGGTATTCCAGCATGGCAATGACCCAAAAAACACGGCCAAGGCAACAAAGGAGTGGCTCAAGAAGAAGCGGAGTAGCCTAGCCAGTCTCCAGACCTTAATCCCATAGAAAATCTGTGGAGGAAGCTGAAGGTTCGAGTTGCCAAACGTCACCCTCGAAACCTTAATGACTTGGAGATCTGCAAAGAGGAGTGGAACAAAATCCCTCCTGATGTGTGCAAACCTGGTGGACAACTACAAGAACCGTCTGACCTCTGCGATTGCCAACAAGAGTTTTGCCACCAAGTACTAAGTCATGTTTTGCAGAGGGGTCAAATACTTATTTCCCTCATTAAAATGCAAATCAGTTTATAACATTATTGACATGCGTTTTTCCGGATGTTTTTGTTTTTATTCTGTCTCTCACTGTTCAAATAAACCTACCATTAAAATTATAGACTGATCATTTCTTTGTCAGTGGGCAAACGTACAAAATAAGCAGGGAATCAAATACTTTTTTCCCTCACTGTAGGCACTGTAACAATGAGGACTACTCAACAACGGTGAATGGGATCAGCAGCTGGGATTTCCAGCGGGCCACAGTCAGGGGCGGAGCCAGGGGGGTGAGAGGGTAGACAATTATCACCCCCGAAAAAAAATCGAAAATCTGAAACATTCTGCGTATAAGTGTACGACACTCAGTCTGGCGGACTCCGTGCAACTGCATTGTCAGTGTGTCACCAACCGATGGCGTGGGGTATAGCCGATTTCTTAGCGTGTCATCCTCAGCCTGCTCCTGAAGCGCAAGACGAGCCTGCCCTTCAGCGGAGGCGTGATCGTTCGCCTTCGCCGCCGCCGGATGAAGAACGGATTTCGCCACAGTCCGATGAGCAAGAGCGACAGCTACGGCCTGTTCGCATTCTGGATCGCGACCCCGCCACGAGGCTACCGATGGCGGCGATGGCGGAGTCGGACGGTTCGTACCGCCTCCGGCTTCACAACCTGGCCTGACCAGGACGTTGAAATACCCGTCCAAGTTCGTTGGCGGCGCTGCCCGCCGCCCGACAGCGTCTTTGTTTGTTCAGTTCGACTGGCTCGAGTACTCGTTCATCAGGGAGTCTGTTTACTGCTTCTATTGCTACCTCTTCCCGCCGTCGTCAAGCGCAGATAACGTTGCGTCGGCATTCATCTACTCCCCCGGCTTCTCAACCTGGAATAAGATCGGTGGCAAGAATTGCAGCCTACTCAAGCATCAGGGTGGGCACAAGTCGGCACACAACATCGCCGTGAAGAAGGCCAGGGACCTTCTCAACGCCCGGCAGCACGTCATCACGGGCGATGCTGGGCTGGCCCGTCAGAATGCCAAAACTATTGACGGCAACCGCAAGCGCCTGGACGCCTCCGTCGACGACATGCGCGTCTGCATGAACCAGGGCATTGCGATGCGGGGAAACAACGAGTCGCCTGGCTCTCTTCACCGGGGCAATTTTCTAGAGATTCTCAACATGTTATGCAAGCGCGACGCACTGCTTGCGGCCATCACCTGGGAGAACGCGCCGCAGAATGCGACCATGACCAGCCCCGACGTTCAGCGCCCTATTGAGACCTGCCGCGGCCAAGGATACAATGGTGCATCGAGCATGAGCGGTGAGATCGCTGGCTTGCAATACTTGATCAAGGCCATGAACGACATGATCTACTACACGCAATGCTGGGCGCATAAGCTGCAGGTCGCTCTTGTCGCTGCCTGCACAAATGGCGTCGCCGACATTGCCGTGTTCTTTGACCTCGTCCAGGACATAATCCACACTGTCACCAGCTCGTGCAAGCGCAACGACCAACTGCTCGCCGAGCACAAGAAGCTCGTCGACGACCTGGTCGATGAGCTGGCGGTCTCCACTGGCCGCGGTCAGAATCAGGAGACGGCATTGTCGGCGGCGGGCACCACGAGGTGGTCGTCTTTCTGGCGCTCGCTGCACCGCCTGATTGAGATGTTCAACGCGACTGCCGTCGTCATCCAGAACGTGGAAGAGGACGGCGCCAAGGCAGAGCAACGGGCCAAAGCTCATCGCCTTCTCAACGACATGTTCTTGTTCAAGTTCGCGTTCTGCCTGCACCTGATGGAGCGCTTGCTTAAGATCACGAACGATTTGCACGTGGCGCTGCAGAAAGAGGACCAGGACGTTGTCAATGCGATGCGGCTTGTCGATTGCACCATTGAGTCGCTGAAGGAGCTGCGCGAGAACGGCTACGACGATCTGCTCAAGATCGTCAACGCCTTCTGCGACGTCAACGAGGTACCCGTCGTCGACATGAATGCGAACTACACCCGCCCTGGACGTCCTCGGCGCTGCACCTACGTCATCACCAACGACCACGTGTTTCACATCGACCTCTTTAACGCCTCGATTGACAAGATGCTGGTCGAGCTCGATCTACGTTTCAGCGCAGAGTCGATGAAGATGTTGCGGCTGGCGGTCCATTTATCGCCCCGCAATCGATTTGAGTCGTTCAACGTCAGCAAGATCCTGGTGCTGGCCTGTGATTTTTACAAGCGCGATTTTGCCGATCTCGAAATGCTTCTCCTCGAGCAGCTGCTCCACTTCGAACAGGAAATCTGGCGAGATGAAGCGCTGAAGAATGTGAACACGATGCCAATGCTGTCCATCAACCTGGCGACAAGCCGCCGCGGAGATTCCGGCTTTCACCTGGTCTACCGCCTGGTGTGCCTCGTGTTGACCCTACCGGTGACCAACGCCACAGCCGAGCGCATCTTTAGCGCGATGAAGCACATTAAGACCCGATTGCGTACCACCATGGGCGCCGAGTACTTTACTGACGTGATGCTCCTGTTCGTCGCAAAAGGCGTCACCAACGACGAAATCATGGAGCAGTTCCAGTCGATGCGCCCGCGCCGCAATCGTATCGTCTGAACTCTAGTTCAATAGCCTGTCTCTAATCATTCTTGAAATTAAAATTTGTTAAATGTCACCCCGGGCTGAAAATCCTGGCTCCGCCCCTGGCCACAGTGGTACCAGCATCGCTCTTACACAATCCCGAGGTTTTCTATTTTATTATTTTTAAGTGCTGGGTAATGGCATTTACTTCACAATTGTAGAGGTGTTACGGGAGGGTGACACGCTGTTGTAGGGCGGTGGCCACAAATACGTCTGCTACGGCCACCACCTTGGGGGGCTGTGGGGGATGCTGTGATCCCTCCCAGCCCCACCCCTCAGTGAGGGACAGTATAAAAGGTGGGACCCGGAGAGCTGAGAGGGAGTTCGACTCAAGCAAGATGAAGAGCCAGTGAAGAAAGAAGATCGACTAGCTAGACCCTGGAACTCCTTTGGCCCGCTGTCCTTTTGAGGGCCGGGCAAAGCAAGCCAGGGTGCAACACCAGAGCCGCGAGGCCCGATGTCCTTCTGAGGGCCGGACTCGTTGGGCTGGTAATCGGGACCTGCGCCGAAGCTGGGCCAGGTCAGATAGCCTCCTGAGAGACGACCAGGATAGAGGGAACCAAGGAGCTAGCGTGGGCTAAAGCTCGGGGAACGTGCTCTCTATAGAGTATGTGTGAAGAGGCCGTTACCTCTTCAAGTATCAGATTCACCACTGTAATTGAAGCGTCTGTAATAAATACGTGTTGCCTCCAATGAACAGTCTCCGACGTCAATAAGGCCACTACACAATGAACCTCAATTTTTACAAAAACTACAGACATTTTTTGTAATATGTCTGTAGTCATGACCACGAACCAGCAGCGCGTTTCTGACAACGTATTTTCTGTAGCGCTGCTAAGCTTGGCTTGGGGGCAGGGATTACTGGTGTAAGGCACTACTACTCGAGTGCAAGGTACACCTATCCGTAATAACGTCTGTTATCGTACTCTATATTTCTAGAACAGTTAAATGGAAATTACGCGGATAAAATAAGGCGAGATGATGGATGTGCCGTGTAAAACCAATTCCCAGATCGATGTTCTGCACTGTTCAGGCTGAACGCAAGCACTGCAGCAAACAGCATCCTGCCCCATGGGCCACAGTAAACAAGAACAATGTGTGTATGTTACACTAAAATTACAACTGAAAATTCAAATTTAAAACAGACAAGCATACCTTTAACTTGGTAAAAAGTAAGTAATATTAAAGTACCAACTGAAACCCAAGCGAACCGACATCCTGAACTGTACGAATTTGCTTGAGGTGCGTGTTCTGAACCTGATCAACGCAATAGGACAACAAACCCAGATCATTAATTTCCAACGTGAACGGCCGAGATGTGCACTTCAGGAGTATTATGCTTGTGTCCACCGATTGCTGCCATAACAACATTACAGGAAACACAGGCATTTCCAATGCACGAGGCCCTTTTTATTAAACAAAAACTGCCACAATATCCTAAATCAGAATCGAAGGGTGTATGCACAGTTGTCATTAGAATATCCTCACGGCCAAAACGGATCCGCTTCAATGAAATTAAACATTTCACGCAGGGCGGTGAGACGCATATTGCGATGCTGGCAGGGGAATGTTAGTCGCTCAACTGCTAAATCCCACACGGAAAATTAGAGAAGCAATACTACCCCTGTCTAGCCTAGCGATTTGACATGATGCCTACATACCTTGGCAAGGGGTGCAAGGCTCCTTGCCAGGCATGTAGGCTCCTCGTGCACATGTCGGTAAGGCACACACCCTCCTGCAATCGTATGTGGGTTAGTCCCATGACAAAAGCCTCCTTTGCGCTTAACATGTAGTCCCAATGCTCGGTGGTTTACAGACGTGCCGATAGCGCAAATATCCATCCGGAATGCAGATCCCCAGCTGCACAACCAGGCAACACCCCCCACAAGTTGTTGGATGCCGTTTGAAACGAAGAAGAAACCGTTGAGTCGTGCAATGTCGTCCCATGACCAAAACGTTGTAGCGAGTACAGCGTAAATGTAAAGGTATTTTCTGCCCTCCCTTACGAATAAAATAAAGAGTAGCTAAGGGATTGGGGGGGGGTAGTCAATTCAGCCACAGGAACAATTGATTTTTACGATTCGCTTAAGACCGCTTCACATAAGACGAAGCAGTGAAGTACTGTAATACAAAAGCATTCGCGCCTATGCAGTGTGTGCTGGCACAAGCCGAGTGTGATCAGAAATGATCAATCACAGCAAAAAGAAGGTTTTAGCAATTTACCATTTCAGTATTTACATCTAAACTAGTTTTAATGGTAATGTCTCCCCAACATGAAACACAGGAATGCATTATTAAACGAAAATCCAACACCGCCTTCACCGCTTCCTTGGCCACACACAAAATGGTTACAAATCCCTTCAATGAACCCCTCGGATTCTCTGGAATATCACAAACGGATGACGACCGTTCACAACCATTCACCACTACCTACAAAATGCAGAAAAAATAAATATAATTCGGTATATTCTAGGTTAAGTTGTTCGTCTCAATTTGCTATGTTGGTTATTGTGTAATTACCAGTTAACTATCAACCAGCAGTCCCTCGAATGGCTTGGTAAAGCTGTGGCTGTAGAACCTACAAAGACAACGCACAAACCCCAGCGACAGGGCAATGAACACTGATGAATTTGCATGTCCGCTACATTGACTTGCAGCATCACCTAAACACACGCAATGGCACGTCTCTTTGAGAGCCAATATAATTCATGTAGATTAAATGCATCTGCAGAGCAACATCAATGAACTTCATTCCATTACAAGCCTGGGTATGGGAAATTCCAGTGTTGTTTTCATGTTGTAAATATTGCATATATTGCCTGAATACCAGTGGAGTTGTTTGTGAACAAGGAAGCAAGGTACAACAGTTCATTACCCGCAAGTCATGCTAATAAGCAAGGAAAATGTGGTTAAAATGTACTGGAACACTTGCACTTAAACTGTGCGATACACCAAACTACCGCTTCGCTGTAACTCAATTGCACGGGGAGTTAAACGCACGTGCCGATTTATCTTCGTGGGTGTTGTTCATATTTCTGTGACCATCCACTACTCTGACCCCACACTATCCTGACGTATCCTCTTCTCCACGACCCTCCTCTGCACCCTCCCTCATAAGCAGATGCCTTCCCACCTGTCAGCGACAGCCAAACCTCCTTGTCCTCTTTTGAACAATGAACCACAAGCACACCTTTGTGTAGAATCTACCATAAGCAAGTAATTGCAATTCATTTACTTTGTGATGTAAGCATCCAGTGTCCGCGTGCAGTTTTCTAAAGGCAAGTTAGTGCACCACAGTATTTTAACCCATAACGAGAAGCTACACAATACTATATAGCAACTTTGAACATTTTTCATTTAAATTATTTCGGCAAGTTTTCCACATTTTGCAATCATCCAATAAACAACTACGTGTGAATTAGCGCAAGTGAATAGCTATGTTATTGAGGAGGCACAGCTACAACACGTGGAATCCAATTTACTTGCTGTTCAACAATTATACAAGCGTGTGTTTAAACGTGCGCCCTAAGTTACTTCACCACATGCTAATATTGCAAAGGAATGCAGTTAAAGATAAATGAGCCTCAAACATTAGGAAGGCAAATTTAGAGTATTTTAGGAGGTAATCAAGATGTATATCAAGGATTCGCAAACAAACAATCGGCGCGTCTCAAATTATTGTACGCTCTCCTCGCTCGTTGCAGAATTGAGGAATCTCAAACGTACGCAAGAGCGACTGAGCCCAGGTCTGAAAGCTAATATAATCTCTGGATTCAGATCGATTACATTTGCCAATATTAATAAATAAAAACCACTTTTGAGATGAACTTTGCACGCAACTTAATAAAGTCTGCAATGCTCAACATGTTTCCAGTCATTGCATGTTAAGACGAATACGATCGTGAAGTGGATCAAAACACCTCGTGCCCTCTTAACAATAACCGAGTATCAATGATGCAATTTTAACAAACTGCTTTAAATTAGCAGCAATCACAATCAGCATGATTAAGTATGGGGAAGGGGGAGGCTGGGACGGCCTTCCACAAGCTGCTTTCCTATTAAAGATTTAAAACTGGATTCAGGACAAATTAAACTTCCAAGTTCGAGCCTATTCAGCATTTAACATAAACTTGCTTTGTCCTATTGCCAGACGTGTAACTTGTCCACAACGCTACACTAACAGTAGCTCAATTGCACTGCCGCATTGTTCTTCATCGTCTTAAGATATCCACAGTGCACAAAATATAAACACGAGTTAGGCGTAGCAATTCAAAATACAATATTAAAACTTCAGTACACGGGTGGTTTTGCATTTCCTCACGCTCCAATGTCTTCACAATGCTATCATCACCACCTACGTCAGCAAGTTCTCCTGCTGTGTTTGTTTCACCAGATGACGTTTGCTTGTGTTGCGATCGAAACGTGATCTATTAATTTTCTATCTACGTGACTTTCCCGAAAGAACCAAAGAGTAGGGATTCCAATTTAATACTTTTATCATTCATTTAGAAACTATATTTTTACTGTACTTCTCCAGCGTGCATTAGCTATCAGGATACTTTGTATTTAAGTGCATAAATGTAAGCTTAAAAAATGTGTTGCAAAACTTTATTTAAAGGTAAAATGTTGTAATAACTTACGTGTGAATAATGCAGAGACTTAGTGTGCACATGCACAACAAAGTCTACCCAGTGCCTGCGTGCAGGGCATGATAATTGTGGACAGGCGTAGACTGTAATGCACATCCAATTCTGTGTAATTTGCGAATGAGAAGTCAGCTTGCGTGCTTTAGATCTGTTGCTTAATGTAATCGGTCATACGCACCCCCATGCGCGTACAACTTGATTTTCAGTTTTCACCCATCCGAGTGTCACAGTGTATCACGTGCGTGCCTGTCTGTGTGAAGCATCTGCCTGTAGGGCCACCACACGTTTGTGCATGTTTCCAGCCGTGTTTGTGTGTGTGCGCGCAAGGCTCCAGGCATTAATACCACCCTCCTACGGAGAAGCGAGTCCGAACGGAGGAGCCTGCCAGGGACTCCCTCTCGGTGCCCTTCCTCCTCTCCAGGGCAGCCAACACTTTGGCCTTGTTCACCGGCGCACCTGTCGACGGGTCACATGGCGGCCGCCACACACAGCATTGGGATTTAAAAGAAAACCATTCAATCACGTCTGCTAAAATCGCGTTTACATTGCCCCTTACAACACAACGATGTGCCAAATGCTCTATGCTGCACAATGGCCTTGTTGTAGATGGGTATTCATACCTCGAATATTGAGAGCTCATCATAACTAAACGACGAGGATCTTCCCATGCGCACGAGTCACATTGCATCATTGCATGGGTATAGGCACATTCATAGCCTCCTCTCTCTCTAATGTACGTCCATCATCATCATCAGCCATGATCAATCCACAGCTGGATAGGTAATTCCCAACTAGCCACTACTATCTTTTACGGTCCTGCTATGGTACCATTCATCGAGCTGCTACGCATGAGCTGGTTTCATTGCTCCACGAATACTTTTCCCTCCTTTGGCTGCCACTCCAAAGTTAGTCTCAACTCCTGGCCGCAATCCCTTATATAGCTACGTAGTTCTGTCCCAAGTGCATTTGCTGTGTTGGTGTAAGATATTTTGACAAGGCCTCACATTTCGCTTTGGATAGGCCTTCCACATGGAGTTGACAAATACGGAGGGCTGGGCCGGTGATCTTGGATGGATGGTCCAGGAAATTACCTTTGGTTGACATATTTGGGCTTTGATGCTTTTCAGATAATTGGGAACCGGTTTAACCTGTCGTTAAACCAGGTTCCCGAGTTGTGTTCCGCACTTATTTTGACTAAATTCCAGTTCCGATAATCATGACCACCAGTTTGACAGCGCATGTGATGACCATTGCAGAGTGGATGGGAAAGTGTTGCCCCCTGCTTCATCGAACAAAGAGCACTTGAAGGGATCCTAGAGGCAGCTCTGTGACATACACTTCTGTGGGCCATTGTCCAACACAGAGGGTAGCAGCACTGCTCTACAAGCGATCCGACTGAATGCTTCGTCTCATCACATGACTCCGAGGACACAATTAGAATAAAAATTTGGGATAGAAAAAAAACTGCACGAAATGTTTCGAGAAGGCAATTAGTTTTGTGTTAACTCTTGTGTTAATGATCTAAAAATAATTAATTGGAGCGTGGCGTACCAACATAGCTGAGCAAGACGGGCAGGAATATAAGTCCGTGAGCTGCCCCCAGCAGCACCATGGAGAGGTACATGCGGAAATAGAAGATCTTGAATATCTGCGACTTGGAGAAGGCCAGCACTACAATCCCACCAAACTTGGTCACCGTGATGCCGCTGAACACCTTCAAAGAGCACAAGAAACAAACAAATATTACCACATCCATGTTATACGTGCACTGAATGATAAAGAAGACATTTACCACACTGAAAGATCTAAAGGGAATTGAAGTCGATAGGTCACTGTGGCCAATATCATTGACGCCACCACACCTGAAAAGGTAAGCAAGTTATTTGTTTACTTTTCCTACACATTGCACTTCTTTCGTGCTTTTGTATTGTTTGTTGTTGTAGCGTTCTGACCTGCCCCTATTGAACATCTGTGAAACAGAGCTTTATAGCTCATCAGATTCCTCCACTATAAATACACATTCTGATTCACTCTGGCTTTCTTCCTTTGGCCACACAGCCAAGATCTTCTTTTATACAATTGCACAACTTGGCTTTCGGTCTCCTGCTTGATTGTCACCCTTTGTGTGTCTGTCTTGAAAACCAATCTCAACTCCACATTCACGACTCATAGTTTCATCTGCAATAACTATGCGAGAACCACTCTTCTAAAGCTGCTCAACTTGAGGACCTACTATCCTGGCTTCAGTGCATAGAAACTGCCCATAGTTGCCATGCTATAGCCTGCAAACCCGCATCATCTACATAATCCAAAGTTTATCATGTATATTTTCATTAGATTCCTAATGTATTAATCAAATATATATTAGTCACAGTTGGGCACAACACAGATGAAAAGTGGGTGACAAACACCCTTCTGAAATCCCATCTTAACCTCCAACGGTTCAGTCTGATGCCTCTAAACTAGCATAGGCCTCTGCAGCAGGAGTGTCAGCAATGGGCATTGTGGGATGCTGGTGAAACTGTTTAATGTATGTTCGTTTCAATTAATCGCTGTTCACGAAGCGGTCGGTTTGTAATTTCCAAAGACACCGACATTTTGTATTGAGTGGCAAGTGTGGGTATGGACAGTATGCCATGTATACCAACGTGAGACAGAAAAATAAGTACAGGTACATATGAATAGATCTTGATGAAGAAAGGCAGTGCTGCAGTGATTCTATAGACAGACAATCCCTTTTGGTGCTTCCATTGTGCTCTTGTCACATGCGATGGCGAACATGGCATTGCGAACCCATCCTCGTGGGTTACAAAGTAAACCCTCTGGCGACCTGTCACTCAGAGGAGCACGGACAGGCAGCTAAACAATCCTTCCCCATTTCTACTAAGCGGAATGAAGAGCAGGCTATGACCAAATCACCGGGAATGTGCCCGATCTCATCACATCTCACAAGCTAAGCAGGGGTTCGAGCCTGCTAAGCGGATAGCTGGCAGACCACCTTGCATAACAAGTATGTGTCCCGCTGCTGTAGGACATGGTGGGCAGAAGGCAGTGCAGCAAAACTTGCTGTCGTACTGTACTTTTGTGTTCCCAGATCTGTTCCCCGCCTTCACTGACCAGCAGTGACCGACGTGGAGAAGTGTGGTTAAATGACCTACGCAACATGCACGGCGTGGGGAAGGTCCCATCCAGCAATGAATAGACAAAAGCACCGTGAACGCGTGCACACACGCTTGTGTATAACGACACAGTGAGTGCGAGGACGTACGTACCGAGCTACCCATGTGAGCCAGAGCCTCCTTGGCGCGCAGTGCGCGGGTGGGCTGAGTGCTGACTGAGAACGCACGCACGATGTGACTGCAGAACTCCACCGATATCCCCACACACTACAGTGAACACACACATACAAAGGTATCGCTCAGAGGATTCTGACCCTGTTTCATTGTGACATCGACAAAGACATTTCATAAAATGTATTCGAATTGAGTTTTTCAAAGCAAGCGACTTACTGTAAACTATATGTCCATCTTATGAACTCAATGCTATCTAAAAGCCTTTAATGTATATATATATTTAAAAAAAAATTACGTTTTTAATGCCTTAACCATACAATCTCTTACCCACATTGTGTACAGCCTTTTGTCAGTCCACTGCTGGATGAAGGCTTTCCTATGCAGTCAATCTTTGGGATTGTTTGACCATAATTTTACCAGTGAAATATGGTCAAACACTCATTACACACAAAGTACTTGCCACAAATGAACCACAATATCTCATCAAGGAGCATAAAACATCACGCAAACTCTGGTCAACCTCGCAGCAGCGGCTTTTGGCTAACCATCGAGTAAAGATGGTCACTGCATCGCGCACTTTCAGATGCACTTCTGCGACCGTCTGGAAACGCCCTTCCTTTCGTTATTAGCAAACCACTGGAGCTATGCACTTTGCAATCTAGATTGAATACTCATTTCTTTAAGAACTGCTCATTGTGTTTAGTTTGTTTTCCTTACCCGCACCTCTAATTAGCACGGTTGGCTACATATGGTGCGAAAGAAATTCAACAAACGTACATTCCCATCACCCTGCAACTCCACGGTTGGCTACGTACTGTGCAAAAAAGTTCAAAAACAGGTATGTAAAATGCAGGGGTGGTGGCGGAACATGACCGGTTCAGATTTAACTCATGAACCGGTGTCATGTCAGTATCTACTGACATGATTTGAAGCTTTCGTGACTGCAGGAATCCATACTCTTTGGTTCTTTCGGTAAAGTCACGTAGGTAGAAAAATAATAGATCACGACGTTTCGATAGCAACACAAGCCATCGTCCTCAGGTGAAACAATACAGCAGGCGGGCTGCTGAGGTAAGAGGAGGAAATGTAGCGAGAGCGCTACTGCCACCAGAGGTTATATACGTTTGAGGACGATGGCTTGTGTTGCTATCGAAACGTCGTGATCTATTATTTTTCTACCTACATGACTTTAAAAAAAGATCCAAAGAGTATTTACTGACCGTAGTAGTATCTACTGACATTAGTAGTATCTATTCTGGCAAATTTACCAATGATGCTGGATGTAATTACCAGAGAAACATCGTACAAATAAAATTGAAAATGTTGTGGATTCACTCTTCAACACACCGGTGGGCTAAAGTAGTGAACTAATTGTCTTTTGTCAACGTGACACATTTTTTTACTGACTGTCCGTGTCGGGTGGTGGAGGGTTGCGACACATTTATAAATAACGCGATCTAACCCAAAAACCTTTATTATGAGTAGTAGTATCTACTGACTGTACTATTATCTACTGACTCTAACGTATCTCCCGACTCTACGGTACTATCTATCGACTCTATAGTAGTAACTACCGACTTTAGTAGTATCCACTAACTATAGTAATAACTACTAACTCTATAGTAGTATCTGCTTACTCTATAGCAGTATCTACTTACTCTACAGTAGCCTCTACCGACTCTGCAGTAGTATCTCCCCACTTTACAGTCGTATCTACTGACTCTATATTCGTAACTACTGACTCTATAGTAGTATCTAGTAACTCTACAGTAGTTTATACTGACTGTAGTAGTATCTACCGACTCTATAATAGTGTATATCGACTGTATAGCAGTAGCTACCAACTTTACATTAGTATATACAGACTATAGTTATATCTACTAACTCTATAGTAGTATCTACCGACTCGATAGCAGTATTTACTATCACTACAGTAGTATGTACTGACTGAAGTAGTATCTACTATCACTACAATAGTATGTACTAGCTGCAGTAGTAGCTACTATCACTACAGTAATATGTACTGGCTGTAGTAGTAGCTACTATCACTACAGTAGCATGTACTGGCTTTAGTAGTATCTATCACTACAGTAGTATGTATTGGCTGTAGTAGTAGCTACTATCACAACAGCAGTATGTACTGGCTGTAGTAGTAGCTACTATCACTACAGTAGTATGTACTGGCTGTAGTAGTAGCTACTATCACTACAGTCGTATGTACTGGCTGAGTAGTAGCTATACTAACTCTATAACAGTAATCTTTGGTTCTTTCGGTAAAGTCACGTATATAAAAAATAAAAATAAAGTGAATACAAAATTTAAATAAAAATAATAAAAAACAAATAAACCGCTCTGCAGTAGTATCTACGGCCTATAGTGGTTGTCCCCCCTCCACCGATCGCGCGTGTGCGTTGCTCGGGGAAACCATGGCTTTGTCACGCATGCGCAGATGCGTGCTTTAGCACACGCTAAGCGGTGTAAGGAAACAAATGAATACCACAAAATTGTTAATTTAACTAATTTAAAGTTGGCGGATGCGAAATTCGAATAGCGCTGACTCACCACGGGGCTTATGGCTTGGTACCTGGGTACTTTTTTAAACGTAAACCACACGGTTTGCGAGCAAAATCCTTTCCAAGTTTTGTCCACACACAGACACGCAGACAGACAAACAAAAAATGACGTTCATAGGAAAGATGGTGTACGTTTATTGTCTTTGCTGTACCTTAGCCTTTGCAATAAAGCATGCACGATAAGCCATAAGGCTATAAAACATGTGTAACATTAATTAAATAAAGTCACTTAAAGGGGTCTCGTTGGTAGCCCCAGTGATATCCGTTTCTGTGGGCCGTGTTCTCCAACACAAAGCGCTGCACTGCTCTACGGGAGATCTGAACGGATACTTTGTCGTACAACGAGATGCCGAAAACACGATGGGGACAAACGTGGGGGGAAAAAATGACAATGGTTTGAAGAAAGCATTTACATTGGTGTCATTCATCAAGCAACAATTTCAGTAATGAAGGATATTCCGTCAATCCTCACCATGACGAGGTTGACAAGAGACACGGCGTTGAGGCTGATGCCCCACAGCCACATGACGCCCAGCATGTCGGTAAGGATCATGGCGATGGTGAGGGTCAAGGTGAGCGCCGACCACACCTCCAAGCCCAGGAGCAGGATGGAGACCAGGAAGACGGCTCCCAGCGACAGGCTCAGGTTGAACACCGTGTCGTTTACAATGGTCAGGTACTGCTCGTAGAAGACGTAAAAAACGCTGCATGGGAAGAGACGCGCACGCACGCGGTGGGCTTGTAACCATAACACAGCAAAAAATAAAACGTACAAATTAGACTGAGTAATGCATCTGTGAACATGAGAACAAAAAAGCCAACGTCAGAATGTTCTTGCTTAATCCAACGACACTGATTCTTGCTGGCTCTTTCAGCCCTGCAGCCATCATCAACTGCACAGAGCAATGCCCATCTGCTCACGCAGCCTGATGCGGCTTGAGAGACACACACTCCGAGCCAACAGCATCAGACGCTCAGCCGAGCTCATGAAATGTGAAACAAATCAGGCGTGAATTCTGGTTAAATAAAAGCAGTCATTGAGACACCGCCTTTCGAGAAGGATTTAAGAGTTTATTGGACATACTCTTTGGTTCTTTCGGTAAAGTCACGTAGGTAGAAAAATAAAATAAAATAAAACAAAAAAGAATGTATCACGACGTTTCGATCGCAACACAAGCGGTCGTCCTCAAGCGGAAAAAATAATCCAGCAGTAGGACTACTGAGCCAGCGAGAGATATGTTACAACAAGAGGTTATTTACGTGGCGATGGGCAAGCAAGCGGAGTCTGAGCTGGAAAGGAATTCCATCCCCGGACGCGAGCACGTCAGTTGTGTTAATGGGGGAGATTATGGAGAGATATTAGGGAAATGAGCTTCCGTCGCTGCATAAGAGTATCGTCCCCGCATATGCGCACAACAGCAGTGTTCATGGGAGATTAGCACTATGTTGATGGGAGAGATGAGGCGGGGAGATTAGGGGGATTAGCAAGTTAATGTCAAGTCTATGTGTATTTTTCTACCTACGTGACTTTACCGAAATAACCAAAGAGTATGGATTCCTGCAGTCACGAAAGCTTAATAACTCATCAGATTTCTCCAGGATAAATAAAGATTCCAACTCTGATGAGTAGACTTTCTCTAGGCATGTTTCACTCCCCATTTTTTTTTATAAATTGTCACATTTCAATTCAAGAATAAATGTGTTATATATAAGATGAAATAATATTTTACCACCCTTTGTCATGCAAGTTGTTTGACCATACTTCACTATGCTGGTCAGTGCAGGTTTTTAAAAGCAGGAATCAGTTCAGATGTCACTCAAAACTGATGTTAATCACAGTCAAGAATCACACTCAGGCTGCTGGGTTCATGGTGCTGTCCACCAACCACTGCTTTGTCTTTGCTCTTGTAATACACGAAAAGGTTTATTGGCTGCAAGGTTTTTGTGAATGTAGAAAGTCTCCATGACCCAATCTAACACAATGTCTAAATTAACGTGACATTATTCTTATCCCAATGACTCAATGGCAGTATTGTATGCATAAGAAACCGACCTAAATTAGTGACCTAATCATAGATGTGTGGAATTCAGAATCCGGTTATTCTGATTGACAATAGGGGCATCTGGACACCCAACTTGGATATATCCAATGTTAACAATTCCATATGGAAAAAAAAATCACATCTATGTTTTTCTACAGAAACAAAGTTCAATGTTGACTTAAAGCTTTCGTGACTGCAGGAATTCATATTCTTTGGGTCTTTCGGTAAAGCCACATAGATATAATTTTTCACCTGATGACAATTGCTTGTGTTGCAATTGAAACGTCGTGATATTTTATTATTTTTTTATATCTACGTGGCTTGACTGAAAGACCCAAAGAATAAGAGTTCAATATATTACATAACATCCACATGCAGAAAATATGTACTTATTAAATATGTAAAAATACACAGTATAATGCCATCACATAAATGCACAGACACAGACATGCACAAAAACACACAAATACTGTTACACAAGACAGATACCCGATATAGTCGGATAGACTGTTGGGGCAAGTGCTGTTAGCGAGCACCTATTAAGACCAAAAGTGAACAAAGGGTGATACGACCAGCACCACAGCCTGTCTCCCCAGTGCTGAGGTGTACACACTGCACAAGGTACGCATTTAAGGCTGAGCAAACCTAGGGGAGATCCAGGATCAGTTTGTAGTGCAGTGCGCTAATCAATTTGCCACCCTTACACCTTCCACGCACTGCAGCCCCAACATAGTCAGCTTAGGTCACATCAGCTCCTGTTATTCCCTTCTCCCCCCCCACCTTCCACTCCCCAACACCAATGTATTTAATTCACTACAGGGCGTGGAATCGGAATCGGCAAAGCCCCACGGGTGTTATTCACCCTCCTCCTGGTTATGAGTTTATACTGTACTTATAACCAGTGGTGTCGCGTGGTTGGAATTGAGCTCACAATAAGACGTGTCAGTGGGCTACATTAGCACATCATACCTACATGAGGTGACCATCCAATTTTAATATTACTGTAGGTTATGTGATGCAGGCAGAGTATGCAAAACTCAAGAAGATTCGTGACGGTACCTGTATGCGAAGACCCTGTATTTTGACAGCGTGGGGCCAAGGGCGGCTGTGATGTTGGTGGCGATGGTGCGAGCGTTCCTCAAGGCAGCAATGAAGTCCCCTGACTCAGTGAGGATGGTGTGGTAGCTCATGAAGTAGGTGGCGCCAACGTGGGAGCCATTCACCGACACTGCACTGCCATACGCTGCGTGTCCCCTGGTCAGCCACAAACGCACAAGGTCGTGAGGTCGCCGCACCAAGAAGAGGGCACAGAGGCATGGCTAAGAGCACACTTTAGTTGAGCTCTTTAAAAAAAAAAACTGTTTCTGAGCATTGGCCTAAAGGCCACAATCTTCCACCAACCAGCAACAAGCTATCAAAGTTGTTACAGATAGGAGTTGACACGTCTCTTGGATGGAGCAATGTTATTTATAAGAGATCGGGATGATGGGAAGGAATTTAAAAGTGAAGTAGTGCGAGGGAAGAAACGAAAAGGCAAGTGTTGTGACCTGTAGTGTGGTGATCGTTAAACGCAGTATGGCTAAGACGAACCAGTCAGTCGGATAAACCAAGTCTCCAGCATGGGTGGAAGAATCAACGAGTGACGTTCACGGGAACAGAAACCATGGGAGGAGTGATCGAAGAGTGATCAGGAGATGACTGTCCATCGGTAAGCACATGATTGTAATGGTATTGCAACCCCCAGACTTGCGGCGATTTTACTCTAACGAGTATTAATAGTTAAAATAAGCAATGAGGGTAAATGGAGGAGTGATGATGTGGATAGAAGTGGAGGACTGTGGGAAAAATAGGTCGTGTTTTGAGCGAAGAAACTAGTCAATGGCAGAGGAGAGATCTTCCACCAGGCCTTAAAGCAGTGGAGGAAATCAGCAGTGAAGATAACTGTGGAGAGAGAATGGCAAACACCAGGGGCCGCAGGGGAGAAGGTGCGACCAACCACAGGCTGGAGGTTGATCACGAGCTGTACCAAGAGGCCTGAGTAAGTCAGAGCAAAAGGAATTAACAGGGGACTCAAGTGAAAGGAGAGAAGTGGAGACAGGGATAGGTGATGACACTTGCCCCCAAAAGAGGAATGTGGACTTTCCACCACTGGCTCAGGACTTTCAACAGGAAATGAGTGCAGCCACAATGCAAATTTGAGCAGGACATATCTCTGCCTGCAAGATTTTAAGGACAGAGCCTGCTGAGTGTCATGATAACTAGAAGACTAAATGCGCCCCTGGGGAGACTTCGACGAGAGTCGTGCGAGTGGAATTGTGTGTGGAATGTGAGATGCAGACCCTTTTGCACAATACATGCTTGGGTTGTCGGAGAGGAACATGGGCAGGAAGTGAGTAAAGTTATCGCCAAGCGGTCGCTGCTTTCCCTCTCGCGTGAGTGGACGGCAGGGAACGCAATCCGGGCCGGGCACTGCACACAATGGCACACAAAGACAAAGATCTGTCGTATAGCCTTCACAAATTGTTGGGGGTTATTAGCGAGCATCTATGAAAGTTGGCACAGCACACTAGGGGGTGGGGGGTGACCAACACCACGCCCGGCCGCCTTTGTCTCCCGAGTGACGATATTTACACATCGCACCATGTACTCATTTGAGGATGAGTCGACCTGGAGGAGGCCCACTGGTGTTTTGAGCGTGAGCGGGAATCGAACTCTGGTCTCTGGGTTGGTAGTGCGGCACACTAACCGTTGCACTACCGCTCCCCGCAACAGCACACATACATAAGAGGGAGGCTGCTCATCACTTAATAAGAATAATAATTGTGCATTTTAACATTTTATCATTTGCAGTTTACCAAAACAGTCGCGTAATTTTTTGCAAATTTTCTGAGGCCGAAGCATAATTGTCTGCGTGGATGCTCATGTTTAAAAATGTAAACGTACGGCTTGCATTGCAGAAGTCCCCAGTGGAGTTAAACACTCTGCAGCAGCTGGACTGTGGCTTCACCCAATCAAAGTAATCATCGATCCAAGAGGACGGAGCGTAGCCAATCCTGGTGCTGCAACACAAAGGAATGCACTTAAAAGCAAGTTATTTATTGACTCCATAACCTTAGACTTGTTAATACCACACAACCTTCATTCTTATTCAGGTATACCTCTTATAGCGCTGCCTCATATAGCTGCCTCATATAATGCTGTTCCGTTATCACGCTTTTTTGTCCTGGAGGCATAATTTCTGTGCGGATCAGCCCATATATGAACGTAGACGTGGTGTTGCCTTTAGGGGCGTCTTTGCCCATATCTGGTCTTGTGAAACCTGAATCAAGGTGTCTTTTGTATTGATTCTGCTCAGTCAATCCTACGGTCACGTTAGAGTATCGATTGATTAGGGGTTAATCACTGCATCGATTCAGTGGTGATTCATGGATCGGGTAATCCCATTGTTTAGTACTGTACAGCTTCCCGCAGAACATGTTTACGGCAGGCAGTGGTTCATCTTACACAAGCTCCGACCGAATGTCACCATCATTAAACGTCATAATTTTTTATTTATGAAATGCTTTACTACCTTTATCATGTGTACAGTATTATTATTAAGGCTATTAGCGATACCCCAATGAAGCCCTCAGATATCGCTCATCGGTAAAAAGAATTACGCTGTCGGTACACATCTCCATTGGTACCATGTTATAGTAACCTCCTATAGCGCTGTTTCATATAGCGCTGTTGGTAACGCATCTTCATTGGAACCATGTTATAGTGACCTCCTATAGCACTGTTTCCTATAGCGCTTCATTTATCAAGATCGGCATCCTGAGCGCTATAGGAGGTATACCTGTATACCAACAACTAAGTGACAGAGTACACTACCGTTTACTGTGCATTAAGACAAATAGAACGCGTGGTAATTTCTATTTACCTTTTCCAACTTGAAAACTTCATAATTGTTTTAGTATAGAAACTAAAATAAAAATTCAACATTTATTATTTTACCAGGTAAGGCCCACTGAGCTATGTAGCTCTTTTTCAGAAACGACCTGGCCACAAATGACAGCTCAACGAAGTGGCTTGTGTGGAAATATATAGCAGCAAAATACTCTAAACGCATGATGTTGATTCTAAGTGTGGAGGTAAAAATTAGAGGGCCCGGAGAAAAATCCACATGACTACAGGGAGAGAGACATGCAAATTCCAAATATAGAACAGGTGTCAGGGTCTGGATCGAACCCACAACCTCCTGCATACCAGACGAGGTAGTTAACAACTCTCCACCGTGGTGCCCATAGAATTACAAGAACACTGACAAAACATTCATACAACACTAGACCCCCTACAAGCCTAGCACAACCCGGATGATACCGATGACATCCCCCGAGCCCCGATAATCGCCTCCCGTCCAGAGGCACATGCCGGAACAGAAGCGAGACTTTAGTTTCCGACCGTTTTTGCAAGGTCAGAGGAGTCAAGTAAAAGAAACCGAAAATCAGTGGCGCGAGTATCTAAACATATAATAGGCCAATTTCAGCTCCAGCTTATAGTGTAAGTTGTGCGGCGCAGAGCGTGCTCGCGTACTAGTTGGGCAGCTGCGCAGCGAGGTAGAGCTGCTCCACCAGCGAGTTGTTGTTGCAGCCGACCCCTCCGCAGATGACGTTCTGTCCCTCCAGGGTCAAGTAGTCGTGACCGTCCTCCACCACAAAGTACACCGGCGGGCCCGAGTGCAGGAAACGGTTCAACGCGGTGAAGTACGTCAACACGTAAGAATCCTGCAACACACACAGACACACAGGCTCACCCCCCTTTCACCTTTGCTTGCAAGGCTTATTTTATTTATATTTGTACACTGTAATTAGAGTAGAGCAGTGACGCAGTGGTTAGCATACTGCTGTACGTATGTATTTTGAACTTCTTTCGCACTATACGTAGCCAACCCATGCTAATCAGAGGTGTGGGCAAAGGACAACAAATTAAACACAAAAAGTAGTTCTACTGCGCTATGAACCCGGCGACCTGAGTGTGATCGTCGGCCATGGTTAACATCTGAACTGGTCCTGGGCACCCCCTCCTTCCTCAGCCTGAACTGACTGGCATGGTGAAGTACGATCAAACAACCTCCATGACTGGCACGGTATGTCGGAGGCCTTCATTCAGCAGTGTCGGCAACCAAAATGGAGCCATATATTTTTTATTCAGGAAAAAAAACTAATATTTAAAGAGCCACAATGTACGTAAATACGAGACGGTCCTCAATAAATAACACCATGAAGCGGCTCCAGAGCTACAGGTTGCAGACCCCTGATATAGACAAAGGGCTGTAAATCAAAAGTGTAAAATCAACATTTCCCATGAACATTAGTGTTCTTGAATGCATGGGTTCGGGATAGAGTGTGACAATATCAGCTAGAGCAGAGTGTTCCTCATTGCAAAGCCCACAGGCTACTGGTGGCCCTTGGTGACCTTTAGTGTTGCCCCTGACGTGCGACCCCGACAATACACAGAGTAAAACCACCCCCCATCATCATCGTGCTGTCAAACCTAATGGTTTCAATTGTGTGGCGGCCCTCACACCGATGATGTCTTATTGGCGAAAGCGGCCCCCCTCTGCAAATGAGTGAATAAGACTGACCTAGAGAGTACTGAATTCATATGCTTAAGTTTGAAATTGTGTTTGCAAGTTATAATGTGCGTCTGATGTATGCGTGAACCGTAATGTCTGCAATTGAGCGTGTAAATGCGACCTCTGTGCGTGTGTGTGTGCATGAAGGAGCTGGTGCAAATACAAAGCCGCACATCAGGCATGGAGAGCCTCTGGTCCAGACCGATTTCAATCTTGTTGACGACAGCCACACTGAAGGCAAGCGCCGCCACAAACACCGACATCTGACGAACACAGAAGGTGTTACTCAGAAAAACATCATCATGTATGTTGAACTTCCTTCGCACCATACATAACCAACGGTGATAATTGGAGGTGCGATTATTATCATCACCGCCCACGGTCAGTCTATTGCTGGGTGGAAGGTATTCCCCACGCTGTTATTGTCGCTCACGGTCCAATCTACCTCATTCCTGCAAGTGAACTAATCTCATTGCTCCATCTCCACAGTGGCAATCCTCTTGGCTATGTTCTCTCCTCAAGCTGCCATTCCATTACCAGCCTAATACATTGGGCATCATCATCATGTACTCGAGTCCATCGGTGTTGATAATAACTGGCTAATTCTAGATTTAAAGCTTTCGTGACTGCAAGGATCCATACTCTTTGGTTCTATTCGGTAAAGTCACGTAGGTAAAAAATAAAACAAAAATCACGACGTTTCGGCCACAACACAAGCGGCCTTCATCAGGTGAAGGGACCAGGCTGTCTCGAGGACAGCGCTGGAGTGAAACACAGCCACGCTCAGACAGTGACCTTTAAGCTGTGTGCGAGGAAACAAGGTGCCTTGCGGCATCTTTTGAGGAAGGTCAGCGTCTCGATGAGCTGTGACTTCTTGTCCCGTTGTCTGTTAAAAGCTCTAACAGATAGGTGAAAGCCCTCCCCGTAGAGGTTATCAATTCTAAATATTTTACCGAATAGAACCAAAGAGTATGGATCCTTGCAGCCTTTATCGGCTGAGAGGATGACTATATCACTTCTGTTATGGATAAAGATTCATACAACAACAAAATCCAGAATCTGCTCAACGATGGAAGTTACTCAAAAATTAAAAATTACCCTACCAATAGCCTAGCGATAAAAAACAAGATCATCATAAGTTCGACCTCCCTAATCGACCCAACTAAACGTCCCTCCCTAAAACCTTCTGCTGCAAGACCCCCTAGATTCTATGGTCTTCCCAAGATTCATAAAGAAGGCACCCCACTACGACCCATCGTATCCACGATCAACTCCCCTACCTATAGACTAGCCCGTTTTCTGTCAGATACCTTGCTGCCTTTCACTGGCAAGACCGCCTCAGCAGTGCTTAACTCAGCCCAATTGGTCTCTATGGTCAAAGACGATGTACTGTCCCCTGACGATATCCTTGTCAGCTTCGATGTGGTCTCTTTGTTTACCAAGGTCCCAGTAACTGATACCATTGAAATAATTGAAAATTTGGTCCAACATGGACTAGACCCCGATACACCTGCACTGGTTAGGCACTGCCTCAACAATACCTACTTTACTTGGAATGGCTCCTTCTACAAACAAAATGAGGGTACCCCCATGGGATCCCCCTTGTCACCAGTGATAGCCACTATTTTCATGGAGAAATTTGAATCGGACGCCATCCAGACTTCCACCCTCAGACCTTCCCTGATATGTGGATGACACTTTCGTCATTTGGCCACATGGCCTCCCAGCTCTGAACCTTTTCCTACACCACATCAATTCCAGACATCCCGCCATCAAATTCACCATGGAAGTGGAGAAAGATGGCAAGCTACCATTCTTAGATGTTCTGTTTGAGAGGAGACCTGATGGCTCATTGGGGCATTCTGTCTACAGGAAACCCACCCAGATTCCTACTTGAAACCTGATTCCCACCACCACCCAGCCCAGAAGAATTCTCGCATCAAAACTTTATACCATAGGGCTCATTGCATTTCGGACCAACACCACCTGACCAGTGAATTAAAACATGTACACCTGACCCTCAAAAGGAATGGATACTCTGACCGTACCATCCGCCAAGCTGTTTCTCCCTCCATACAGCAACAACCACTTGATACTCCGGTCAAAACCATCACACTACCATATATAGCAGGTGTTACTAAAGAGATTTCCAAAATTCTAAACAAACACAAGATCCAGGTCCGGTTCAATACAGTACACAAAATTCGTGATCTGATCCCATCCGTGAAGGATGTCATCCCTGACTTACAGTACCCCGGGGTTTACAAATTGAGTTGTACCTGCGGTGATTGCTATATCGTGGAGACAAAGCGACATGTCTCTGACCAAATTCGCGAGCACAAATCAGATTTGAAACACGGCAGAACGAATTCGTCTGCCGTAGCTGATCACTGTTACAACGCTGTGGGTGATCACGATATAATTTTCTCCGATACCAAGGTTCTTTGCAAACCCACGGGTTTTTATCAGAGATTTGTTCACGAGGCAATTCAGATCTACAAACACAGACAATTTCAACCGAGAAGATGGTTTCAAATTGAGCAACCATTGGAAAGATGTTCTAAATCGAACCAAACATTAAACTAATTTCAATAGTACAGTATATTTTTCAAGTAGTGCTACCCCAAACTTTTGCAGCTCTTAAAAATTCCCTTTTCACACCATCAATAGGTAAACTCCCCCCCTCCCCCCCTCGCCAACCGGCATGTTCACCCACATGTACACCACCTCTACACCGTTCATCATGCTAAGTCGGCCAATCAAATGCTAATTTTTATGCTAATTCCTTTGTCAAGGCACCTTGTTTCCTCGCACACAGCTTAAAGGTCGCGGTCTGAGCGTGGCTGTGTTTCACTCCAGCGCTGTCCTCGAGACAGCCTGGTCCCTTCACCTGATGAAGGCCGCTTGTGTTGTGGCCGAAACGTCGTGATTTTTGTTGTTTTATTTTTTACCTACGTTACTTTACCGAATAGAACCAAAGAGTAATAACTGGCTAAGTCAGGTGGGGGACCTTTTCCTTCCTGAGGACCGAATGAACCTTCAAATGCTACAGCTATTGTAGGAAATCGCACATGAATGCATGCACCTCAGTCACTTCTGTAAATGCAGTGACAGAAGTGCGTAATATTATAAACACGATGTTACTCGGTCAAAAAATATTCCCCTTTAGTGCCAGATTAGTGCAGCTAAGATGCTTGCAGTGATGGATATATATTGTTAGTGGGCTGTTTCCAAGTGGCTGCGGGTCCGGGAACTGATGCACAATGGCTTACTCTTGTAAACTATTTACTTTACAGATTAAAGCTGTTTGCAACTAACATTTTACAACAAATTGGAGGTTGGGAAATCTTGCATTCAGAACATTTTTTTACAAGTACACATACATAACTTTACTCAAACAAATATTTACTTAACCATATTTAACACGTGTACATAACCAGTTATATATTGGCAATTATTTACCCAGAAAAGCCTCAATGAGTCCTAATACTCTTTTCCAGTCCTGCATTGAATTGTTCAGCCAATATGATTTAAATGGGTGTTGGCATAGAGGAGGAAACCGGGAAAACCTGGAAAACACTCCTGTTTGTACCTCCTGGCCACCTCGTAGCTTCACATCTACAACAGCTGGCAAGCCCTGCTGGGCACACATCCAAGTACTAACAAGGCTCCACCACGCTTAGCTTCCCACTTCTGATGAAAATGGGCGCATTTACGGTGATTGGTTGCAGGCTTGCATAACATATGACCTGTGTCAACTGAACATAACTTTGCATATTAAATGTCTCCATACTCAAATGAGCGCTGGATGATGGTCATCTACCCCTGGATGGCCCTGTGGAGGCGTACGTGGTGAGCGCTGCCTCCAAATCATTGGATGACAGCAGTGGTGCTACTGCGCGACCCCACGCAGTGTAAGGATCTGTCATGTATGTACGTATGTTGAGCTTCTTTTGCAGCATGCGTAGCCAACCGTGCTTATCGGAGGTGCAGACCAATGGTGCGGACTAACATCGGGTAGAATGGACACCGTATTACTCCATTTAGATGTGCATTCTCGCACAGCATTGTGCGGTCTGCAGAACAGGTGCGGTGAAAGATGCGCTGGGTTCTATTCCCATTACACCTGTGGACATGTGGAGGAGAGGCCACTCACCACAACAGGCCGCACACACTCGCTCAGCAGCACGGGAGCAAAGAGATTCTTGAAAAACCGGAATAGCAGGCCGTGCTGACTCTCATCCGGCGGAGGAACGCTGGTCTTCAAGCAGCACACGATATCGAAATGACCCTCCTAGAAACAGTGGCAGCGCATTCGCTTAAAAAATTAAATAAACACACATTTGCAATGCACAGTTTTGAAGTTTCAGAGGTGCGGGAAGCCAAAGACAAGCAGAAAGGAAACCCACCAGAATAGGTGGCAACAATTGCCTAAGCTATGTGGACCTATATCGGGATGTTTGGCCAACTATATTAATGAGTGGCGCCATGATGTTGAGATATTAACTACCTCGCCAAGTATACAGGATTCTCACAATGTTTCGGCCACAACACAAGTAGCCTTCTTCAGGTGAAGGAACAGAAATGTCGGGACGACAGCACTTCAATGAACACTGCTAAGTTTCGCCGCGAAAAAGCGGAATAGCAGAATAGCAGGCCAAGCTCTCAAGGCTAATGGTTACTCCGACTACACAATCCGCAAAGCCATCACTCCAGCCATGAAGAAGGATCCTCTTGAGGAGCCATTCAAAACCATCACCTTACCCTACATTGCAGGGGTCACAAAAAAGATCTCCAAAATCCTGAATAAACACAAGATCCAGGTCCAATTCAACACAGTACATAAAATCCGTAATCTGATTCCGTCTGTAAAAGATGTGGTTCCAGACATACAGTACCCGGGCATCTACAAACTAAGTTCACTCTGTGGTAGCAGCTACATTGGAGAAACCAAACGACATATCTCGGACCGCATCCGTGAACATAAAGCAGACTTGAAACGCGGTAGGACGAACACCTCAGCCATAGCAGATCACTGTTATAATTCAGTGGGCTCACATGACATTGACTTCTCCAAGATGGAGGTTCTCTGCAAGCCATCCGGCTACCATGAGAGATTCGTTCATGAGGGCATCCACATATACAAACACGGAGACAATTTCAACCGAGAAGATGGATTCTGGCTTAGTAACCATTGGAAAGACGTTATAAACCATTTCGGTTCTTGATTGATTGTATTTTACGGTGACTTTCAGACTGCAGTCCATTCGCTGGCACTGCCTCTTAATACCTTTCACACGACGGTCAATGGTATGGTTTATAGCATGTTGTATAATAATTAGTATAAGTGTAATGTTTAACATAATTCATAAGGCAATATATAGTATCGTAATTGTATAGTGAATATACAGCAGTGTGGTATACAGTAGGGTTGGTAGAATAATACAGTGTAAAATTAAAAGTCTAATATTTTACAGTCTAAAGTATAGGGTAGTGTATAGTAACGCATTGTATAATTCAAGAGTGGGTTTGTCTATGGCAGTGTATATTACGGTGTATAGTCGTGTAATGTAGAAAAAAAGTTTAATTGGAGACATATCAATATAATGCATAATGTTAGAGCTGACATTGGGCTGTTTATACGATATTATACAATGTAGTTTAGATTGGAAGGTATAACATTGTAATGTATAGTAGTCTAGTTTATAACATAGTTGTAACGCAACACAGGACAGAGCAGCGCATCGTGGCTGTTTCTCCCCCCTCCTCCGTTATGAGCATAGATGGACTCGTCCGTCTGAACAAAGCTCGTCGCTTTCCGTGGTGCTAACGTTGAAAAGAAAAAAAACGCCACCCTTTTTTTCGACATAGAATTGTAATGTATAACGACTTATTGTTAGTAGCTCAGCTGAATGAAGAGTATATTGAGTTTATTGATAACATTGATGTAGTTTATATTTGAGTTTTTTTATCAGTTTACTATATGGTATTCATTATATAGTATAGTGTATACCCAGTTACTTTATATTAATAGCTCAACTTATTGAAGAATATATTGAGTACATTTATTATATTGATGTAGTTTATACTTAGTTCTTTCACAATGGATTATTGTATGATAGATGGGTGGTTGCAGTTCTTTAGCGTCAATATACTAAATGCCTCTGTTGATATGTAAACTCTGACTTTAACATAGCTATTTCCGTGACCAGTTACATGCTAATCCCTCACATTAACATCATGCTACTCTCCCAGTTACATGCTAATTTCTGACTTTAACACCCTGCTAATCCAACACTTTAACACAGCTATTTAAATGCTAAATTCTTCTGTTGATATGTAAACTCCTTTGTCAAGGCGCTCTCTCCTCCCACCCAGTTTAAAAGACGCTGCGAAGCTTAGCAGTGTTCATTGAAGCGCTGTCGTCCCGACAGTTCTGTTCCTTCACCTGAAGAAGGCTACTTGTGTTGTGGCCGAAATGTCGCGAGAATTTTATTTTATTTGTTTTATTTTTATTATTTTATTTCCATTCTACGTGACTTTACCAAAAGAACCAAGAAGATGAATCCCTGCAGTCACGAAAGCTTTAAATTGAAAAAGTATATAGGTGGTCATGGGTTCGATCCCGACCATGACGCCTGTATAGTTGGAGTTTGCGTGTGCTCTGCGTGGTCGCGTGGATTTTTCTCTTGGGCTTCCAGTTTTTCCCTCCACATTTAGAAACATGCTGCAATAAATATCCACGTGACGATGAGCCACTTTGTTAAGCTATCATGTGGCCAGGTCACTTATGAAAAAGAGCTATATAACCTCAGTGGGCCTTACCTCGTAAAAAAATAGTTCTATAGTTTAGCTCGAGTGTTTATACATTCAAACCTCAGATTAGCAGGGTTGGCTACGTACGCATACAGAAAGCCCTAAGTGTGATGTACAATGGTGAGCATTGTCACACCTCCTGCCTCCGCGCATCGAGGCCCATGAGGCTGACGAAGCAGGTGACCTGCAGCAGGAAGTCGATGAGCACAGCCATGCCAGCAAACAGCGAGAAGGTGCGCACAGCCGGCATATCGGACAAGGCGCCTGTGGGACCAGACAATCGGACGCACATCAGCAATGGTGGCATTCTGTACATGTGTTGTTAAACAGGATTTTAATAGCTAATGGCTGTGTATTGAGTCCAAATGAGTCGCAGACATTATCTTGGGAGCAACACTATTCATTCACATAACCATACGTAACATAACACAACCTACGCTCGGGTCTCGAATGCCCATCTAACCACGCTACGGCAGAACAAGACACGGTTCGCTATCCCGGTCCGGACCACAAGCTGGGTCCCGGACCGCGTGGCTAGAGGCTTCTTCTCCACGACGTGGATCTTCGAACACCAACACTTGAAGAACCCCGAGCTCCTCACGGAGCTCTCATTATATGCCCCCGGGCTGGCTCTGCCCTCAGCCCCGCCCACCTTCCAGGCTTCTCGAGCTCCCTCTCGAATGTTCCCGAGAGCTCTTCGGGAACACGTGACCACCCCTCGGCCCCCGTCCACCCGTGGCCCCCCTCTCCAGTATCGTCCGGTCACGTGACAACAGGTCAGCTAGAGTATCATGCCCCAGAGTAACCCTGGCTGGCTGACGCTCCCTCTCGCTCCCTCACTGGGAGCCGGCACCGCACACTGCTCGCGGTGCCTTCGCGCTAACCAGCACTCACCCAACCACCGCTAGTGTTGGTACTGCAGCCCATAACCCGGGCTGCCCGCAATGACAACATAACCGGCCGGCACCACACAGTGACAAGTACAGTCACTACAGCTGTATATGCTGGTAACTCTGACGTAAATATAATTGTCTAAAATTTATGAACAAGGCCTCGTCTTTCCACGTAACACTTGAGTAAAAAAGGCTTTGGTGCATCAGCCATTGACTTGAAGATGACGATATGCAGCAAATGTCTTTCAGAAAGGGATTCGTGCAAAGTAGCAGCATGTGCTGAACTGTGTAAAAAGTTGGACAGGAAGAAAGGAGATGAGTAGGTCTCCAGGCTTATTTCGGACTGTACGTAGCCAACCATGCTAATCGGAGGTACGCATAAATACAACCCAATTTTAGGAAAACGTCTTCGAATGTCAGTGAATGAATATGGAGGTATTTCGTGGACAACAAGTTCGCCAAACTATTTAAGACATTTGTTCGAGGGAGAAGGCCAATTTAACTGGATGAAGTAGAGATCAAGTTGTTGAGTGACTTGGACATTGACAGAAAACACAAGATGATGACAACGATCTCCTTGCTTCGTCAAAACGTCCTCCTTGTTAAAAAAGAAAGATGGTGTGCTGTAATTTGTTATTATGAGTACCGAGTTACGTTAACTGTTAACTTTTGTATTAAATTTGTACGAATGTTTTTATTACTCTATTTCAAACTTTAGTCATGGTTTTTTCACTGTGCACATTCAAATATGTGATTTCACCTGATTACGAAAATATATGCCTCATTAGCTATGGCGCTCTTTAGTTCACTTTGCACGGGGTCCAGTGCTAACCACTTGTGAGGTGCTGGTTACCCAGAAAGAAGGCCAAGGTCTCCGAAGTGGAGGTCAGCAGCATGCTTGGAGCAATATCTCCCAGGATCCGGCCAATCTGCTCATGTGCCTTCTCTTCCGCACGGCGTTCGTCTCTCTGTTAGCAAAGCACAGATCACGTGAAATTGCCTGGCAACAATACATAACTTCCCACATGTCTCCACGCCACTCATGTCACTGAACAAGACACGCCCATTCGTACAAATTAGCATAAACAATGTGGGGATTTCGATTTAAAGCTTTCGTGACTGCAGGGATTCATATTCTTGGTTCTTTCGGTAAAGTCACGTAGAAGGGAAATAAAATAATAAAAATAGAACAATTAAATTCTCACGACATTTCGATTGCAACACAAGCAATCATCATCAGGTGTGAAAACCACAAAAATAACATTTTGAAAGAAAAAAACGCTTTCTTCAAAATGTTCTTGCTGTGGTTTTCACACCTGATGATGATTGCTTGTGTTGCAATCAAAACGTCGTGATAATTTATTTTATTTGTATTATTGCCCTTCTACGTGACTTTACCGAAAGAACCAAGAATATAATGTGGGGATTCAATATCCGCTCGCTCTCGAAGAGAGGAAATGGCTCCGAGGTGCAAGGAATCAGACAAATGGGAAAGCAGCCAGGTAGTGAGCAGGCACTAAATTCCCCCCCCCCCCATCTCAACAGTGCCGGATGTGGGCGTGGTCACTCCAGCCAATTTGCAAATGCAAACACTGCAGCCACGTTAAGCACTGTTGACACTAAGCACAGGAGGAAAACCCTTAGTCTAATCTGGGCAATGGCCACAGTTCGTCTGAATGCTGCAGAGCCGATATTATTATTCTTATGATCATCATCATCATCATCGTATAAAGAAACATCATATATATAAAAAAAAATATTTCATAGCTGCTATAAATCACAAAGCCTATGTCCAAAAGACTAGATCCCGCTGTGAATAAAAAGGAAGAGGTGAGTGTACCCTACCTAGGTTTTGTTTAACATAGCCCCCCATTCACAGACATATACGCAGGTCTTGCTGTTCTATATTTTAATTTGCCTCTTGTTCTAGAATGCACATCTTAAGTAGTTGATCTACTTTTTAACCTGGCTGGGTTTTTGCACATTCCTCATGTGTTTGTTTTCAAGATACAGCGTGGCTCGGTTGGAGACAATTATCTTTGTTATCGTGCCTGCCGCAGCAAGTCAGAACTATGCGATGGGAGTCACCTGGTAAGCCTGCACGAGGATGAATATGTTGTCCACGCCGACGGCCAGCACGAGGAAGGGGATGACCTCTATGACGATGAGTGTAAGTGGGATGCCCGCGTAACTGAAGATGCCCAGAGAGGAAGACACGGAGCAGAGGACAATGGCGATCCCTGCCATGGCCAGTGAGATCTTTGAGTCAACCTGAAAACGCATCGTGCATGGATGACAATAGTACGAAAATAGGATTTAGTAACATTAAAAACACATACCTTATAAGTCATTGATGAAAAAAAACTCTCGAGCCAAAGGTGTAAGCACCGGTTTGTAGATTTGTGTGACTCCCAATTCGTTGTGCTGCGAGATGGCTAAAATATGGTCATATAGCAAGTATCTTATTTCAACTCATCAGTGCAAACATTTGAGAAGTGTCACCTCCTATGCAGGGTGGGTTTTCTCTGGATTGTCCAATCTCCTCCCACGAGCAAGAGACTAATTTACATGGCTAAATGTGCCCAATTAGAACCTCCTTAACTAAAAATTCTGAGACTCGGTCACAATTACAAATGCGTGCTTTAGTAGTGCCCATTTACTGCGTCACAAACCGGCCGGCCTACTTTTAAGGGGCCAATGGAACACTGCGAAAAAAAACCCCTGTCCATAAACTCAAATACACTCGTGTGCACCATGCAGAGATTGAAGAACTGGCGGACCGACGGGTGAAAAGTGAAACTTGTATATATAGACCTTTTTCCCAAAATGTATACAGTAAAACTTTGGATTGCGAGCATAATTCGTTCCGGAAACGTGTTTGTAATCCAAAGCACTTGTATATCAAAGCGAATTTCCCCATAAGAAATAATAGAAACTCAGATGATTCGTTCCACAACCCAAAAATATTCATATAAAAATGATTTATACAAAATACCTTTTTATATGTTTATTATTTAAATATAAAGTAATCAAATGTATTAATTAAATTTAATCGTGGCTGGTGTGAGGGAGACGAGAGAGAGGAGAGGAGGGTTATTGTGTAGGACGACTTTCACTGTCACAAACTAAAGAACAGCCACTATACTTGGACACAAAATAAAAAATGCTTTACGCACACACACGTGGTCACAACACAATAGTAAACAGTATACGCTCGCACGGATGTTGACTATACGAGTGAGGCACGCCGACTGAGACCTCGCATGGGAGACGATTACCCACAATCTCGCAGCGAGAGAGAGAGAAGAACCATTGGCTCAGTTGCGGTCACGTGAAGCTTGGCAGACAAAGCATATACTGTATGTACTACTCGTATTGCAAGACCTCGCTTGTTTATCAAGTTAAAATTTTGCTAAAATTTTTGCTCGTCTTGCAAAACACTCGCAAACCAAGTTACTCGCAATCCAAGGTTTTACTGTATTAAGAATGATTCTGCCTATTTTTTTTTAAGTTTAATCCGGATGTAGGTGCGGGGCATGGAGGGAGGGACACCCCCCACCCCTCAACCCGCTATCTTTCACAAGCCACACAAGAAGGCAGCTGGAGATAAGCCATAAAATTGTATAAAAATCCTGGTACAAGGGGAGGCTAAAGGCCACCATAAAACACGGACAAACAGCAGGGACGGGGAACATTACAACTGGTGGTTTTTTAACAACGGTAAAAGTTAGAAACTTAGCGACAAGAATAAATCGACATTCTAGACTGCAGTCTACATTAGTGGCTTTTATAATTACTTATTTTATTTTACTCTTATTCACCTCTTATATTGTTTCTTATTGTATCTTTCTATCTACGTGACCTTACCAAAAGAACCAAACAATATGAATTCCAGCAGTCACGAAAGCTTAATAACTCATCAGATTTCTCCACGATAAATAAAGATTCCAACTCTGATTATGAGTAGACTATTTCCCTAGGTATGTTTCACTCCAACCTCAGGATATAAAAATATAACTCGAGAATAAGAAGCACGGATCCCTGGCGACACAGATGGAGAACAAAGTTAATAAACCCTCGGAATACATGTGGTAACATCTATGGTACATCACAAATCTTGGTTAAACATAAACCAAATAATAATTATGAAGTATTAGACCTAGGGTAATTCAAAATAGATACAAGGCGAAATAGGTCAATCACATACGACCAAGATAATGTATTCCATAGGACCAGAGCCTCCAAACCGCCTTTGTCTTCCAGCAATTTGGCACAACACATGGTCGCAACAAAATACGCATGAAGGGAGGGTACCTCCCCTTGAGATAGTAAACACCACGAAGGCAGGGGGGGGAACGCAAACCAAAAAACATAAACAGCCAGTCAAAGGTCAAAAAGGGGGGGGGGGGGGGGGCAACCAGGCGGCAGTGGCCACGGGAGGAGAACGAGACAGAGGGATTCTGTTTTTTTCACGAGAGACGCGCAGATGGGGGAGAATTTTCGAATATAACGACGAACACACAGAGCGCACTTCAGTTTTGCAATGGCAAGCTCCGGGGATGGTCCTCGAAATCAACCATGGATGTTGAGTCTTGCAGAGAAGAGGGGCGCTGACCAACAAAGTATCGCTTAAAGTTTTATTCTACATTTATCCTGATATTTTGAGTTGCTTGCAGAGTCAAGGATTGCGATTAGTGGTTTTGTACTAAGCTATAAGAGTTGTAAGAAGCTAAGAGGTGTGCGAATACAATTTACGAATTTTGAGAGCAGAGGGAAAGAGTGACAAGCAACGACCAGCGCAGCCCTGAAGGAAGGGCGGGAGAGGCACCACTGGGTGCCCGCGTGAAGCTGGTAGCTGCAATCCAGGGTAAAGAACAGGGAGAAAGCATGGAGAGAGCTGACGCAGCCTGAAGTAAGGGCGGGAGAGGCACCACGGGGTGCCCACGCGAAGCTGGCAGCTGCACGCCAGGATAAAGAGCACGGAGCAGTGGAAAGAGCCTGAACCAGTGCAGCCAAGAGGAAGAGTGTCGGCGCAGGCAAGAGTGCCGTTGTGTTCAATACACACACAAACACGCCGCCCCAGCGGCCCTGCTGGGAACCTGAGGTATTTTCAGTACAAGGAACGCTGTACCACATAAGCCGCTAATTTAGCAAGTGGCGAAGAAGACACACACATAACGAGCATTTCGGGACTAATAAGATTGTTCCAAAAAGTTATCTTTGTGTTTCGAAAAGGGTTGCCATTCCAAGGTGATGCGTTAACTATTAGCTGACCGTGAAAAGCATTGCTGCCCGTTGAGTTACATGAATACGGTCGCTTAGAAGTATTTTAGTCATTCGTTTTCATTAATTGCATAATCTTACCCATGAATTAATTGAGGTCTACTTTTACCTCGGGTACATGTTTCTTTATCACTGTTCGTATGAATATTGTCACATTAATTTTTACGGACTTTTCCTATCGTCGACTATGCTCGCTTTACTCTGAGGGACTATCCGATTTGCTCTTACTCAGTTTAACAAACGTAATCATTGAGGGATATTTGTACGGATCAATGAGTAGGACATCGAGTACAGTGTTGACAATTCCGAGCATAAGTGTTCACATGTTAGAGTGTTTTTAGAGTCTGAGTGGTGCCTTCCTAAGTTCATGCATAATAATCTTACCTATAAAAGGCATTATTTGTCTGTCTGTCCGTCTGTCTGTCTCTGTGTGCACGGAACTTGCGAAGGATTTGGCTCGCGAACTGTGGGGTTTACATTTAAAAAAGTAGCCGGGTACTACGACGTAAGCCCTGTGGTGAGCCAGCGTTATTCCGTTTTCCCACCTGTCAACTTTAAAGTAGTTAAATTAGCAATTTAGTGATATTTTCCATTAGTTAATTATTTCCTCGCGCCGCTAAAGCTTCCCGAGGGTTGCCCCTAGCAACGCACATGCATCATCGGTGGAGGAGGGATTTCTCATTTGCGTTCAAAATGCAAAAATACACACAGCGCTGAGGTAAATTCATCAAAGTGTCATGTCCTCTTCTCCCCCCACCACACCCCAATGCGTGCACTTACTACTATAGGGTTCGTAGATACTAATATTATAGCGCTTAGCTAGTTTTATTGTTGCGCGGGCGGGGGGATGGTAAGGGGGGCGGGGATAGCGGCCCAGCCCCCAGCCTGCCAAGGTGCCACGTCGGCCGGCTGGCAAATCTAGGTGAGGCCGGGGGCTCTGCATGAGACTCGGCATCACCTCTACTGTAGTGATAGCAGGTACCACCACAGTCGGTATGCACTGCTGTAGTGAAGGCAGGTCCCACCAAAGTCGGTATGCACTGCTGCAGTGATAGCAGGTTCACCACAGTCAGCATGTATGGCTGTAATGATAGCATGTTCCACCACAGTCGGTATGCACAGCTGCAGTGATAGCAGGAACCACCACACTCGGTATGCACTGCTGTAGTGATAGCAGGTACCACTGCAGTCGGTATGCACTGCCATAGTGAAAGCAGCTACCATCAAAGTCGGTATGCACTGCTGTAGTGATAGCAGGAATCACAACAGTGGGTATGCACTGCTGTAGTGAAAGCAGGTACCAACACAGTCGGTATGCACTGCTGCAGTAATAGCAGGTATCACCACATTCAGGATGTACTGCTGTAGTGATAGCAGGAACCACCACAGTCGGTGTGCACTGCTGTAGTGATATTAGGTGCCACCAAAGTCAGTATGCACTGCTTTAGTTAAAGCAGGTACCATCAGAGTCAGTATGCACTACTGTAGTGATAGCAGGAACCACCAGTCGGTGTGCACTGCTGTAGTGATAGCAGATACCACCAAAGTCAGTATGCACTGCTGCAGTGATAGCATGTTCCACCACAGTCGGTATGCACTGCTGTAGTGAAAGCAGCTACCATCAAAGTCGGTATGCACTGCTGTAGTGATAGCAGGAATCACCACAATGGGTATGCACTGCTGTAGTGAAAGCAGGTACCAACACAGTCAGTATGCACTGCTGTAGTGATAGCAGGAACCACCACAGTCGGTGTGCACTGCTGTAGTGATATTAGGTGCCACCAAAGTCAGTATGCACTGCTTTAGTTAAAGCACGTACCACCAGAGTAAGTATGCACTGCTGTAGTGAAAGCAGGTGTAAGAGCCATAAGACAGAAAGTGAGTATTATATCTGTATATAGATTTGATGTACATCCGTCATACATTTGTTGACGGACTGGTTATATTTGATTTGGAATATCCCAACTGTGTAGAAACCCCCCTGTGGTTAGACGCTCCGTTGGTTGAACCCATGACATAACTTCCGGTTTTTACAGTATAAACGGGGGGCTAAGAGAAGAGCCGAAGGGGAGTGAGTGGATACAGTCTTTTGACCGTGCGACAGGATGACACAGTACGTGCGACAGGGTGACAGTACGTGCGACAGGGTGACACAGTACGTGCGACAGGGTGACACAGTACGTGCGACAGGGTGACACAGTACGTGCGACAGGGTGACACAGTACGTGCGACGAAGTGATACAGTACGTGAACAGGCGAAGATAATTTTAGAAAATGCTCGTTTTTGTGCAACTAAAAAACAAAGAAACAGTTTGATTTAAGACATCTCAAACACGCGTCAGACTTATTGCTCCCACAACTTAAGGGCGTAGCTTATTTTCTGGTACAAGAAAGCTGCGCTGGTACAAGAAAGCTACAGCAGGTACCACCACATTCGGTATGCACTGCTGTAGTGAAAGCAGGTACCAACACAGTCGGTATGCACTGCTGTAGTGATAGTAGGTACCACCACAGTCGGTATGCACTGCTGTAGTGAAAGCAGGTACCACCACAGTCGGTATGCACTGCTGTAGTGAAAGCAGGTACCACCACAGTCGGTATGCACTGCTGTAGTGATAGCAGGAACTACCACAGTGGGTATGCACTGCTGTAGTGATAGTAGATACTGCTATCGAGTTGGATAGATACTGCTATATAGAGTTAGTAGATGCTAAAACAGTCAGTATATACCACTACGGTCAGTAAATACTGCTACAGTCAGTAGATACTACTACGGTCAGTAGCTACTGCTATAGAGTCAGTAGATACTACTATAGAGTGGGTAGATACTACTATAGAGTCGGTAGGTACTACTGTAGGGCCAGTAGATACTACTACGGTCAGTAGTTACTATTACAGTCGGTAGATACTACTATAGGGCCAGTAGATACTACTATGGTCAGTAGTTGCTACAGTCAGTAAATACTACTATACAGTCAGTAGCTACTATTGGCTCAGTAGAAACTACTGTACAGTCAGTCGATACAACTGCAGAGTCAATAAATACTACTTACTCTGTTGTATGTAGGGTGTGTACATTTATATACCTACGCGGGGGTAAAAATATTTTTAAGGGGGGGGGGGGGGGTCGACAATTTTCGAAACTTTTACAACAACTATTTACCCCCCACATTCTATCTTTCCTTTAGTTCTGCAAGCCTCTTATAATTTTGTTGGTGGAGAAATGGACAAACGGCCCACCGGGCTTTCACAATAGCTTAGTAGCTGTGTATGTATATGTAAGGTTTAAGAGACGTTTTGAAATATATTTTTCACTAGGGCAATGCCGGGTACTTCCCGCTAGTCTTAATTATAAGAAGAGTATCCTGCGGTGAGATCTGAATTTTGAGACCTGACATTATTATCACGATTATTATCACGATTGCATAATTTGCATCTTACCTATAAATGTCATTTTTTTGTCTGTCTGTCTATCTGCGTGTGTCTGTGTGTTCGCACACTTGCCAAAGATTTAGCTCTCAAACGGTGGGGTTTGCGTAAAAAAAAAATAGCCAGGTACCACGCCGTAAGCCCTGTGGTGAGCAAGCGCTATAATTCCTTTTTCCCATCCCTCAACTTTTAAGTAGTTAAATTATCGATTTAGTGCGATGTCTCTTTATTTATTCCGTGCGCTTAACCATACCAACTCGCACGCTTTCAGTGGGGGTGAGGGGGACATTTTCTTTTGTGTTAAAAATGCAATACAAATACACAAAACGCTCAGGCAAATTCTTCACAGTGTGATGTCTTCCCCCACTCCCCAACCCCGATGCATGCAATTACTACTTACTCTGTTGTATGTACTATACATTTCGATTTAAAGCTTTCGTGACTGCAGGGATTCATCTTCTTGGTTCTTTCGGTAAAGTCACGTAGAATGGAAATAAAATAATATTTTTTATTATGTTTTATTTTTATTATTTTATTTCCATTCTACGTGACTTTACCGAAAGAACCAAGAAGATACTACTATACAGTCAGTAGATGCTACCACTATAGGCCGTAGATATTACTGCAGAGCGGGCGGGGAGATCGTGGCTGGGGGGGGGTAAGGGGTAGCAGTCCAGCCCCAGCCTGCCAAGGTGCCACCTCGGCTGGGTGGGCAATCTAGGCGAAGCCGGGGGCTCTGCACGGGACTAGGCCTCACCACGGCAATTTTAAGCACTAGAGTAGAACCTCGGAGATCGAACGCCCCAGAACTCAAACAATTCAGTGATGGAACAAAATTTTCAACCATTTTTTGCCCCGGACATCGAACAACAAATTCGGAGGTCGAACAACTTGAAAGAACCTGTATGGGCCGAGACGCGTAGCCAGGGCGACCGAGACAGAGGCGAATGACCCAGTTTATGCGTAGCTCTCGCCCAGTGCAGACCCGCAAAACATCGTTCCGTTAACTTTTTCCTCACCACCTTCCACTCAAGCCATCCACTCTCCTTACTACAGGTAAAGTGAAGTTCAATGTTCATTTATTCTATTAATTATAACTGTGTTTCTTGTTTATTGTATGCTTTTATGTACTGTACTGTATTTTAATATTGCAAACTTTGTGTAAAAATGGCCCGTAATAGGAGCATCCTTGGGTGGGGAACCAATTAATGCTATTTTAATTCATTCTTATGGGGAAATTGATTCGGTGTTCGAACAAATCGGTGTTCGAACACGGTTTTGGAACGAATTAAATTCGATCTCCGAGGTACCACTGCATTTTCTTGCTTCTTTCGCTAAACTCACGTTGATAGAAACCTATTATTTAAATAATCACCTTGCAAATATCACATTAATGTTTGTGTGCAGAAAACTAATATTTATATTTCTTACTTCTTTTGCTAAACTCACGTACATAGAAACCTATTATTTTAATAATTACCTTGGAAATATTACAATATTTTCTTTGTGTGCTGACAACTAATATTTCTAAATTAGCTTGGTAAATATTAATATTATTGCGTCCAAGTCCTTGTGTGCATGTGAGTCCATGTGCGTGTCTGCGACGATGTTAGTGTGTGTACGTCTGTGTGTGCATAAGTCCATGTGTGTGTGTGCAAGTCAATGTGTGTGTGCGTGAGTCGATATATGTGTGTGTCAGTCGATGTGTGTGCGTGGTGTGTATGTAGACAACTAATATTAAAAAATCAGGTTAGTACATTTTAAAATCATTATGTGTGTCTAAGTCCATGTGTGTGTGCGAGTCCATTAGTGTGTGTGTGTGCGTCGATGTGTGTTTGTCGATGTGTGTGTATAAGTCCACGTGTGTGTGCGAGTCGATGTGCATGTGTGTGGGTTGATTGGTGTGTGTGTATAAATCCATGTGTGTGTACAAGTCCATCAGTGTGTGTGTTAGTCGATGTGTGTGTGATAGTTAATGTGTGTGCATGGTGTGTGTGTGTAGACAACTAATATTTTAAAATTAAGTTAGTACATTTTTAAATTTGTATGTGTGCGTCTAAGTCCATGTGCGCATGTGATATCGATGTGCATATCTGCGTCGGTGTGTGTGTGTGTGAGTCAATGTGTCTGTGTGTGTGTTAGTCGATGTGTGTGCATGGTTCCATGTGAGTGTGTAAGTCCATTCCTTTGCGTGTGTAGGTCCATGTGTGTGTGTGTGAGTTGATGTGTGTAAGTGAAAATTAAAAAAATTATGTGCGAGTCTAAATCGATGTGTGTGAGTCGATGTATGTGTGTGTGAAAGTCCATGTGTGTGTGTGAGTCGCTATGTGTGTGTCAGTCGATGTGTGTGTGTAACTCTGTGTGTATCTAAAGTCGATGTCTGTGTGTGTGAGTCGCTGTATGTGTGTATGTCGTTTTCTGTGTGTAATTCCATGTGTGTGTATCTAAAGTCCATGTCTGTGTGTGAGTCCATATTTTTGTGTGTGGGTGTAAGTCGATGTGTTTGTGTGTGGGTGTATGTAAGTCGATGTGTGCGTGTGTCTTTTTCGCCCGGGCAACGCCGGGTATTTCCCGCTAGTTATTACATAAATTAGCATAATTCCGTAAAATTACACATTGTTTAATGTTCATTATTTTTTAATTATTTTTAAAGACCTAATATATACAACAACCCGTGCATACACACGCGTACCGCCAGCGTGAAGATGCTCCGGATGTGTCCCAGTGCAAGAGAGATGTACACGAACATGACGGCGTAGCTGATGAGCACCGTGCGCACGTCGCCAGTGCTCTCCCGGTTGATCTCGTCCTCAATGCTGCGTTCCGCCGAGTAGACGATGCTCAGATTGGGGTTGTTGTAGTTTTTCACCAGATCAATGAACCTATGTGCAGGAGGCATGGCAGTGCACGCTTATTTAGCTACAAGTCTATCCAGGCACAGCCCTCAACGACAGGTTACGTAATGCATGTTATTAATTTATCACAAATGCGTTGTGAATAAATAATCCATAGGCAACATCTCTAATGTATTGGCTCCTCTCATGCATCAATGTATTAAAGGTACCGGGGCCAATTCCTATGTTTACCAGCAGTGGCGCACCGACTGCCTCCTTCGAATCCCAAAGCAGCTGCTATCTCCACATCATTTGACTTACTGTTCACATGTGACCGCATTACAATTTAAATTTGTGGGTTGGTATGTGGTGTGGGGTAAGTAGTGGGTGGTGATGGGTGTGTGGTGAGGGGTGTATGGTGAGGGGTGTGTAGTATGTGTAAACATCGCCACTGAGGAGACAAAGTCAGCCAGGCGTGGTGCTGGCCACCCACCCCCTCGTGTGCCATGTCGGCCTGCATAGGTGCTCGCTAACAACACTTGTCCAAAAAGTCTACTGAGGCTATACGGGGTATCTTTGTCTTGTGAATATGTACAGATAGTCCCCCGAGTTACGATATTTCGATCTTACAATGGCGACACGACAAAATAGTAAAATATTTAAAATTTCGCGCGGCAGGCAAACGCAGCAGCGTACGTGGTACGATACTGTACGTTGGGACGCTGCCGGGATGTACGCATCTCCCGCCTTGTGTAATGCCTCACTCTCACCAGCGGTCGACGAAGTTAAGTTGTCTCGGTGTTAGCGTGTGTACTGTACCTTGATTTTTTTACTTTACATTTTACTGTGCAATACAGTATTGTAATGAATAAATACATACAGTATATAGTTTATACAGTACGGTACTGTATCATCATTCTTTAAGACTCCTGGGTAGGCTAGGCTATCTTCGACTTACGATATTTTTGACTTACGATGGGGTCGTCGTAACGCATCTCCATCGTAAGTAGAGGACTACCTCTATTATGAACTTCTTTCGCACCATACGTAGCCAACCATGCTAATCTGAGGCAGGTAGAGGAAAAAAATATATAATCGGAAGTGTGTGGTGAGGGGTGGTAGGGTGTGTGGTAAGAGGCAGCAGGATGTGCCATATGCCGCATTCTTGTTGCGGTTGTCCATGAGGAAAAGGGGGGCACATAACCTTTTGTAAAGAAAATAAAACCTGTACGACTGCACATTTCCACAACAAACGGGCGGAGAAAGCTCGGAGTGACGTCTACAGGAATGTGAGATACCAGCGACAGCGGTAAACGCGGTGGATCCGTGAGCACGGCTCACTTTGAACAAACGGTCAGAGGGGCTCTAGGCTGGAGGCTAGAGGGCTATTTGTGGTCGCTCCACGTTGAGGAAACCACGTGGCACGCAGAGTCTCCTCGGAGCGCATGTGGCCCAAGCATTATTTTTAATCATACGATTGGGGGCCTAGCGCATCTCACTCCAGAGCCCTATCACCCACGTCACCTTCGTGACGATCACTACCTTCGTCACCCTCAATAATTGCTACGATCATTCCGATAGTTAATAATGACGAAATGCACTTAACCTTTTTGGTCTTATTCCATGCTGTGTTGTTGGAATTGCACGAGAGTGCGGTGTGACTTAGAGACCGCCAGCTCTCCCGTTTGTGACAGTCCTTTGACATCATCATCATCTATTTTGTGTTGCCTTGCCAACATTGCAATTTGGATCTTGTACGAGTTTGTATGCATGCATATATATAAAAACACAGAGCCACTGTCAATCCACTGTTGGATGACAGCCTCCCCACGTCGTGCAAGTCTTGGGGAAATTTCAACATACTTTGCCATGCTGGTCAGTGTGGCTAGGTGAAGGTGGGCAGCATAGATGTTTAACCATAGTACAGTACACCATTCGATATTGCTGCATTGCTCGGTGCTGACAAATTGGCCCCACAGTAGCACCTGCCTGCAGCACGGCTTTGTGTGTGGAGGTTGTCCCTTCAAGCATTATCCTGGCTCAACTGAGCATACCTCTCCAGATCTGCTGGGTGATTTGGTCAAAAGGGGGCTCTCGAATAACATGCAATTCAGATTCTCAAATTAAGTCAAGCATTTGCAACCCACAACTCACCCTTGTTCCCATGCCAAAATAGCAGCCATCTTTTCCGAGTTGTTGTGGTAGTTGACAACAGGGAAGGTTATGACCAGGGCCGTGGCGTTGTTGTAATTATCACCTGGAGCGCATCATTCAACAGGGCAACGAGGTCACTTCCTTCGCCACACATCTACACGCACTCCCATTATAAGTTGCTGAACACAGGTGGTAACAAATAACATTAGCAAATCGGAAAATTCAAATGTAAATATGATTTGTTAATATCGCAATGAAAGCAAACACTATAAATGAATTCACACACCAGGTAGATTGAAACTAGGGATGCGATCAACAGCCAAATATTGAACACCTTGCCTAGGTATTACGTGAATCTGAATTTGAAACCAATGTATAATATATTTTCAATAAACTGGCCTGTCTATATTTTCCTCTCTCTCTGTGTCTGTCTCCCTATTTATGTTTCTCATTCTCCCCTTTCCCTGTCTCTCTATGGGTCTCCCTCTCACTTCATCTCTGCCTCGGTCTCCCTTCCCGTGGGTCTGTGTATGGGCCTTCCTCAGTTTACCTGCCCCTTTGCTCTCCGTATCCAACTGTCTTTCTCGCGGTTGCCCTCAGTTTTCACCGTTTTACCTTCTGTCATTGTCTCAGTGTCCACGTCTACCTCTGTATCTGTGTCTCTCCCTCTCTATATCCCTCCATGTCTATCCATCTTCCTCTCTTTGTCTCCGTATTTCTGTCCACGTGTCTCTCCCTCTTGTCTGCTTGTTCTCTGTGCCCCCAATGTCTTTCTGCCCTTTTCTCCATCTCCCTCTGTATCCCAATGTCTCCCTCTTGTATGCTTGTCTTTGTCTCTCCGTCCCTGTCTTTCATCTCCTTTATTTTGCTCTCTCGGTGCCATTCGTGGCCAGGTCACTTCTGAAAAAGAAGTCAATATCTCAGTGGGCTTTGCCTGGTAGGCTAGGAATGGTTTAGTTTTATTAGTATACTAGTTCATAAAGCCTGTCTTTGCCAAGGAAAATGTTTCAATAAATATAATTACTACTCTTTGGGTCTTATGGTAAAGTCACGTAGATAGAAAAATAAAATAATAATAAATCACGACGTTTTGATCGCAACACAAGAAATCGTCTTCAGGTGGAAAAATACAGCAGGCGGACTGAGACAGGAAGAAATAATAATTAACCTGATATGATGTTTTACAAATTGTATCGACGATCAGACACTAACAACTACTCAAAATTATTGTATATTCCTACAAAAAATTGTTGACGACTTGATTCAACTTCTTATATTTAAAGACGTACCCATCGGAAACCACTCAATATAAAGATTCCGTTCTTTTTTTTATTAGAAAGAACAAACATTAATGCACTTAATACTGTGAGGGCAAGAAGCTCCTATCTTTAACCGTTTTCAAATTATTCAGATTTGAACATAATAAAATGTCATTTTTCATTCAAAATGGCTTGAATCTGAAATCTCAAAACAATAAAAGTCAGAATAGTTATCGCTTTAATTTTATCTGCTGTTTAACGCTCTATTAAAAGAAAAAAAGCAATCTTTATTTTGAACAGTTTATGAATGACATGCACAAACATGTTTATGGGGCACTTAAAATCGAGATTTGGAGGCCTAAAAATAAAAAAATCTCGGATTTTCAGATTTTTGCACTTGCGTATGTCCTAAAAGCTACCCGTCCACCAAATGTCAGCTTTCTACCTCGTCAGGAAGTACCCTAGAGGTTTCTGAGACAAAAGGATTAAGGTCTTTATTTATATACATGTTTGGGTAATTGTTTACATTTTTTGTACTTTGCACGACTATCATGTTTTGTATTGTTTGTTGTTGTAACGTTCTTACCTGTTCCTTCTGGAAATCTGTGAAAAAGAGCTTTAGAGCTCATCAGATAGTTCCAGTATAAATACAGTTCTGATTCTTTCCGTCACCACGTGCTTGTGATGCCAGTTGTTGTTGCTGTCACAGCTCCCATCACATGACTCTCATATGCAGTGGCTGGGAAAGTGTGCTTCTCTCTACTGTGTGGACCAAATGTCACTTAAAGGTACTCTCTGATAACTTCCACAGGCGGTTCTCTAACACTGCACCGAGAGATCCAAATAGATAACTTCATGACATGAAGCCGATAGCACAACTGGGATGAAAATGGGGGAAATTATAAAATAACAACATAACGTATATCTATAGGACTTTTTTTGCCAGTATCAAAAATATGCAAGTACGTGCTTGATGCCTTGAAAAAGGTAACTATTCGGTGTTTGAACATCTTAACACCTATTTTATTGCCAGAAAGGGTAAAACCTATTCTTATTTTTTTATTCACAACATATGCTTCTGAAATTAAAATATATTTTTTAAGTAATTATATGTTTTGCTGCTATCTAATACCAGCGAATACAGCTTCACTTTAACTGCTGCAAAGCGGGCACAGCTATAACTTGAAAAGACACAGGAAGTAAGTGCTTTAGAGTCTCAACTTAAAATGAAGCAAGGTTCAGTGCCATACCGTCATAGCCTCCCAGAGCGAGCCACGGGAACACAGGGCCCCCAAACGTGCCCAGACAGGGATCGTGCAGCGGGGTCGTGTCATTCACTGAAGTCGGAGCACTGAAGCGCGCACACACACAACAACAAAACAAAGTTCCTCTCTCTCTCTCTCCATTCATCCCATACTTATGTCTGAGAAAAACACTCTGACCTATTTTTTAAGCCAGAGAAGGAAGCAGTGGCTGGGGCACCATTATCCCAGCTTTCAGCATTAGTCCACCACAAGCATCTCAATCCAATTCTTAATTACAATACGTACTAGCTACAGAAAGCAAGCGTACACCTGCCACCCACCTACTTCCCTATTCATGCATGTGCCCCAGAAGCATAACACATTGAACTGTGCACTTAAAATGCCTTACCAGAATGTGCTCAGATTTTAATACTTGCACGGCCACAATGCATACACGCACCGATGGGACGACACACATTTGACGAACCGCTGGGCGGATGCATGTGTAGGATAATCGCAGTAGTACACACCACTTTCTGACTACACAAAAAAAAACCTCCTATCTAGCATGCACAAATAATGTGTCCCAGGCTGTCTGACTCAAGTCGGTTTATAAACTTTGTTGAAGAGAAACTAGCACTGGCAGCACAGGGTGCCACGGATGGCTAGGAGATTTTAACTACCTCGCCTGGTATGCAAGTCGTGGGGGTTTGAGTCCGACCCGGTCACTTGTTGTATATTTGGCTTTGCGTGTTTCTCTCCCTGCAGTCGCGTAGATTTTTCTACGGGTCCTCCGGTTTTTCCCCTTCACATTTAAAATCAACATGGCATTTAGAGCATTTGGCTGCAAGAAATTTCCACGTGATAAGCCACTTCATCAGGCTATCATTTGTGACCAGGTCACTTATGGAAAAGAGTTGTATATCTCTATTAGCCTTACCTGGTAAAATAGAAAAAATAAAGTGTTTAAAATATAGTATTAAAAAAGTATCAATTTTTTTTTATGAAAAAAGGAATCTTAAAATATAATTTAAAATATGTAAAAGATTATTTTAAAGTATAAAAATAGTATTTACGCAGGATCCACAGGTGGATGGTGGGGAAGCAGACGTGATGACGTCAGCGCGACACACGAACCCGACTCAATGCTGTGGTATGCGGGTAACCTCACCACGAGTACACGCACGCGGTGACGTCACCTTCGTGCATGCACTCACTATCGCGCATGCACGTTTGCCTGCCCACATTCCAGGCAGCCAGCCAGCAAAACTTTTTTATAATATAGTATGAAAACACCAGGGCATACTATCTCAAAACATAGGCAGATGATGTCAAGAGTGATGCCCCCAGAGTGTGAACTGGACTTTAAAGTCTCAGTTCTGACGAACAAAGCATCAAACTTGTGTCGGAGCCTCTGGGACATGCCGACTATGTATGCATCTACAACATACGCACACGCATTAATTTCTCAAACTTGTTTCTTGTTAAAATTCAACGTTTCGGACGTATGTTTCTTTTGAGTTGCGTTCTCCCTTTGGTAAGAAATCAGTCGTAAACCAGGCTTACCGTACGCAGTAGAGAAAGTGAGAGTGATAGTCGGCCCAGACGAAGAAATCATCACCCACGGTACGATTTAGCTGCTTGTAGCTGTTCTGGAAGTAGTTGAGTACGCTGATGATGGTGCAGTTGTTGTTGGTGGGTGCCAGTGGGGCAAGGCAGATGTCCTTAAGTGTGACTTTGGTTCCATTGTGGGGCACTTCCATCATCTCCACTGCTGTTTGCAGGTCCAGCACCTAATGCAACATTAACAAGGAAGGGAAGTCATGGACATTCATGGATACTGTCACACGTATGTTCTCAGAAATACATTAATTAGCGAAAGTGATGGAACCTTCCAAGCTGCACAACAAGATGACGTCACGCGTGACATTATTAGGAGGGGAGGTGAATGCTCCCCGTGTGACGTGGCAGGACGATAACTCGCATTAAGATGTCATCTTGTGATTTCACACACAATTACGTCATCGCCTTGGTGGCAAGGCTTATGCTTCAAGTGCTAGATTTATCTTTGTTCAATTTAAACAGTATTCTATAAGGTAAGCCCCTAAGAGCAACACAACTTTAAACAAAACTACTATATTGGATCATTTTTATAAAAGTTATAGTAACCCCATGCTATACAGAGGAAAACACACAGACTGAAAAAGCTTAGCATTAACACTTTCAACTTTAGTTAGAAGCATTAATAAGGATCTCATAGTAACACAAGAACACTGCCTTAGTTCATCCTAAATAATGCAGCATAGCTCCTGGCAGAGGAGAATACTATTTACCTTAACAGTACAATTTTATTATTTTATTATCACTGATGTTCACAAAAAGCAGTTTTTTTCACACAAGTTTGCAAGTTTAAATTTCCCAATTATTTCGAATGCTACAGTTTTGTGGTTAAAAGGGCACGAAATTGTCAGCACTGAGACAAAGTGGAAAAATGACAGGAGGCTAAACTGAAACAGTGCGTGTGGTTATAATGACTTGGGGTGGGAACAGCGGTGCAGTGGTTATCGCGCAATATTCACGATCCTGACGACCTCAGTTTGATTCCCGGCCACAAGTAGCGAGTGATATCCAAAAAGTTTATAAGCACCCCCCCCCCTTCCCCAAGCGACACTGACCAGGGAGGTGAAGCATCATCAAACAACCCTCGTGACTGATACACATGGGGAGGCTTTCGCCCAGCAGTGTTTTGAACCCATGATGAAGTTGACAAGACCAATTGGCCTTATATAGTAAGCAGTAGGTTAACTAGCTATTAATCTCAATTGCACTGCGATAAAACTAGATATCAGTGTACACTTCGAAAATAAAATGATCCTGCACCAACGTCTTCCAAAAAAACATGCAAAAAAAATCCCCGAGCTGCATTCACAATCAGCAAAGGAAGTGTTTATAAAACAATACAACTGTGCAGGTTTTTTGCGGTTGCGCTGTCCAAGCGTTCGCTGCGTTTCCTGGTTGCGCTGCGCTTCGTTCAGCACGTTGTCCGATGCTTCGCTCCACGTGACAGGGAGCTCCGTCAGCAACTGAACTGAAGTTTGAATTCGAAGCGTCGGGCAGCACGCCTGAGCAACACGCAGCACAACCTGAAAACGCTTGGAAGATTTCGACCCTCAAGGTGATGGATGGGAAGGTGCCCGTCCAGTGGTGAATTGACAAAACGTATAGGTGTACCCTAGTGCACGGCGTAGTCCACACACCTGGAAGAGAATGTCCAGGCCGAGAGGTGGACCAAACGGCACAGCATTTCCCGATGGGTAAGGAGAGTAGGTGGACGAGTTCATATCAATGGCCTGTATGATCAGCTGCTCCGTGCGGAAGAAGGGCCCGAACTTCGAGTCGAAGTAGTCCTTCTCGCGGCGAGCCTGGCTGCTGGGCGCTGACCACAGCTCCACGGGGTCGGTGGTGATGGTCATCAGGGCGAGCCCCGCTGAGCACACGGCCACGAGCACCAGCGAGCAGAGCAGCACGGGCAACGGGTGCAGCACGCAGGTGGCGCCCCAGCGCGCAAACCCCTCGCGCAGGGAGCTCTCAAACCGCTCTCCCAGGCGCTCGAACAGCGACACGCTCTGGGCTGCACACACGAGCAAGGCATGGACGCCATAGCGGTGCTTAACAAGGCAACATTCCTGCACTCTACGCATACAGCAGCCCCTTGTTATCTTAATTAATTAACAATAAAACATCTCACAACAAGCAAACCGTTTCCATGTCATTGCTATTTTTTTAATCATTAAAATGCTCTCTCAGCTGCTCCAGCAACAATACTAAAACTAGTAAACTATTTTTTTTATTTTACCAGGTGAGGCCTACTGAGCTCTATAGTTTTTTCAGAAGTGACCAGGTCACAAATGATAGCTCAAGAAAGTGGCTTATCACATGGAAATGTATAGCAGCCAAATACTCTCAAGGCATGTTTCTAAATGTGGAGGGAAAACCAGAGGACCCGGAGAGAAATCCATGTGACCATGGGGAGAACATGCAAACTCATATCTATGAACCCATACGGTTTACCCCTATTCTTGTACAGGGAAATTGAGTTCAGGTCCATATGGCGTACAGCCGTTTCAATACGGGCAAAAACATTTTCTATTTGCTTGTGTTTCTCCCTTGTGATGGGACTTTGTAGGATGAACGTTGAGATTTATAAGGGCACGGGGTGACCAATGAGGTCTGAATTGGTCTGTAATAAGGTAGGCACTGATAATGGGTTGACAGGTATGCAAACTCCAAATATACAGGCGTCAGTTGGGATCGAACCCATGACCTCCTGTCTACCAGGAGAGGAAGTCAACATCTTGCCACCGTAGCACCCTCTGGGCTGAGCACACACAGGGGATGGATGCCACAGGGCTTACAAGGCAACATTCCTGCACTCTACACTAGCACAGTCCTCTGAAAATCTTAATTAATCAACAATAAAACAATTCACAACAAGCAAACAGCTTCCATATCATGGATACACAGAGTAACCATGTAATGACTCGAATACAAACATCTTAATCTAGAACTTATCCAGGACGGATTTACAAAGTCACTTTAGTACCCAGTCAGAAACATAGTTAAAACATAAATAATTATAAAACAGTACACACACATCGTCTAAATGCTCCATACATTAAAATTCTAAGGGGAAGGACGAACACAAGATTTAAATTGTTTGTAAAAGAAAACCTGTATGTTTTACATGCACGACTGGCCGAGTGAAACGGTTTAAACTAATATGTTTAATGTACACGTGCATGCAGCCCCTGGTCAATCTACTGCTGGATGAGAGCCTCTCCACACCGTGCGAGTCGTGGGGGTTATTGGACCACATTTCACAGCACTGGGCCGTGCAGGTTGGTGAAGGCAGGGAACATTGAAGTACAATACAACAACGGGTTGTGCTAGAGTGCCAGATGCCGCTCACAACGCCCGTAATACTTGTTTAATGTGTTGCGGTCACCCGTTCACTTTCCAATCTCAACTAATTATCTGCTTGAAAAAAAAAGAAAACTTACATTTCATACAATTTCTATGCAAATGATATGCTTGTGTAAAATTTAGGTTAATACAGTGAACCCATCTGTATGACCGAGACAAAAATGGCATTGTATTCGATTCCCAGAAGAGAATTGTGATTTTAGAATTGGAACAGCAGCCAACATGTGAATTGAATCGGTTAAGCTTTAATTTCCATGGACCCATATGGCAAGCCAAGTAGCTTGGAAATCTAAGTTTAGCATTTGTGTATATTGAAACATGTTTTGCACCGTACGTAGCCAACCGTGTTAAATCGGAGGTGGTATGGTGTTCGTCTACTTGAGTGGAAAAGATTTGAGCAGCCACTCGATAATTTCAGCAAAGGACAGCACGCGACAATAAACTGAACAATTTTCTTTATTTTACCAGGTAAGGCCCACTGAGCTACATAGCTGGCTATCACAAATGATAGCTCAATGAAATGGCTTATCGCGCGGAAAATTATAGCAGCCAAATACTGTAAAACGCACGTTGATTATAAATGTGGAGGGAAAAACCGGAGGACCCGGAGAAAATGCCACGCGACCACAGGGAGAAAGACACGCAAACTCCAAATATACAACAGGAGTCAGGGTCGGGATTGGAGCAACGAACTCCTGCACACCAGGCGAGGGAGTTAACATCTCGCCACTGCTGTGGGGGGGGGGGGGGGGGGAGTGAGGGGGTGCATGAGTCATTCCCCACCGTTGGGGCTGGGGTCTCCGTTGATGGTGTTGCTCGCTTTGGTGGTGTGCGAGATGGGACCATAGTCCGACTCGGCCCCCACGGGATTGCTGCGAACGCAAAGTCACACACGTCAAATAAAGGCACAAATTGGCATCAAATTATCACTCAATGTCACCGGCCAGAAGAAAAAGGGTCAGGTCCCTTTTACGTTATTCGAAAAGGAGTAGACCATGTGTGCTGGTGTCACAGTGAAAAATTTCCAAACTTAAAACTACCTATTCTTGGTTCTTTCGTTAAAGTCGCGTATAAGGGAAACAATAAAATGAGTTGGTGTGCGACTATGAAGTGACTCACACCATGTATGTGGTTTAAAGTAGCATTTTTATTATTTTATTGTTTCCCTTATACGTGACTTTACCGAAAGAACCAAGAATATGAATCCCTGCAGTCACAAAAGCTTCAAAAGAAAATAAAAAATTACCTGCAAATAACTTAATTGGTTAAAAGCACACAGCAAATTTGCCTCTCCTGTAGACGATGCCCAAATGCAAAACTAATTGTCACCACAATCCGTTGAATGTAAGATTAAGAATCACCCACATCCACATTAACCATAGAAGCGGATATTGCACCATTCTCATATCTGTAATTACCAACAGAAAAAAACTTAATTGGCAATCACACGTTCCATTTATGGACACGAAATTCCAGTGCCGTACCTGTAATAGCAGAACATGCAGACGACGATGCTTAAGAAGATCCAGAGGAATGACATGTAGCTGAGGACCATGATGACAACCATTGCATCCAAGCCAAAGATGGTCCAAGGAGGAGGGGTGGGGGGTGGCTGTGGCTTGGGCCCACACATCAACGCACAGTCTTGGCAAGAGCACGGCCCCGTGTCATCATCCACAGACTTGTTACAGCCGAGTGTTGCTACGTTCATGGGCACCATGGGGTCCTCCGGCGCGTCTGCACGAGAGCAACAAGGCACTCGCGGTCACGCGCACTGCCAATGCTGGCATTCCTAGTGCCACTGAAGCTTAGGAAGCCACTGGAACATTGCACTTTTAAATTATTCAATTTCCCACACCTCCGATTAGCACGGTTGGTTACGTATGGTGCGAAAGAAGATCAACATACATAACACACGTGCATACCACAAGCTGCTTTCTTCACGTTATTTACATCAGATGTTAAGCCAGAATAGACCCCTCACCTCCCACTGTTGTATACGGCCCTTTTTCCATCTTTAATATTAACAAGAATTTGCCAATGCATATATTTTTTTAGAGAAATAAAGAAAACACGCAAAAGTCAGCACCAGCAAAACACCAGGTGTTGATAAGTAATGAGAAGTGAAGGAGGGCCAGGATGGCGGAATAATCGCAACCTTGCTCAAGGGAAAGATAAGGCCTAATGAAAGACGCACACGTCACCCGTGCAGGCAGAGAGGAGACAGTTCGCGTTAGCCAGAGACATAGTTAAGTCAAAAAGCTCAACCATTTATCCTGCATTGCTTTTAAAGTAACGTTAAAGTTCGAAATCCAACAACAGGAGTAGGCTAAAATTATCGATCCTCACGCTCGCTCCAATTGGAGACCAGGTTACGAGCTACATCAATGAACCATTGCCCATTTGCTAATCCAATACTGAATGTTAATTCATCTTTAATAAGTTTCTGTACAACCTGACCGAAGCGTATGACAAACACAGAATTTTTACTAAGGTCAAAACAAATTCTCTAACCTCAGGACATAGGCGAATAATAAGGCAGTGTTGACTCAAGGGCAATGGAAGAGAAGCAGAGGCGCCTTTGTCTAAATCGTAGTGTGAGAGAGCGGACAGACGCCAAGCAATTATTTCAGCACCTGCGTTCACAAGGCTGGGAAAACGTAGATAACGCTCCCCCACCGCAGCTAGGATAACACACCATACGGGCAAGCCGAGAGGAGGGAGCAGAGAGAGAGATGCCTTGAAATTCCTCGGGGAAGGCGTCAGCAGACCTCAGCAAACAAAGTAAGTTAAATCAATTACAAGACAGTCACACCAAACATTGATACTTACACTATTCACCACAGCGTTATAGCAATGGTCAGCCACAGTGGAGGTATTAATTCTGCCATGTTTCAGATCTGCCTTGTGCTCGCGAACACGGTCCGAGACATGTTGTTTCGTTTCCCCAATGTAATAATCACCACAGGTTCAACTTAGTATGTAGACTCCAGAATATTGCATGTCAGGAATGACATCCTTCACAGATGGGATTAGATCACGGATTGTGTGTACTGTACTGAATCGGACCTGGATCTTGTGTTTGTTACATTGGGGAAACCTTTGATATTGTTTTTTTCCGAGACCAAGGTGCTCTGCAAACCTTCGGGCTACTATCAAAGGTTTGTTCATGAGGCCATCTAGATATATAAACAGACATAACTTCAACCGGGAAGATGGATACAGATTGAGCAATCATTGGAAGGATGTTATTAACCAGGTAAAACCATAACTGCTTTTGGCTTGCCTTCATATCCACATCTCCAGTTTCCTAACCCTCCCACTCCAAGCCCTGCCGACTTCCCCTCCCCACCCCGGCATTTTTTGCTGTGCTTGTGTCTTAACTTGTAGCCTCCACTCCCCCTATCCCTTACCCCCACCCTCACTCTCTCTCCTCCCTGGCTCCTCCCCCCTTCCTCTTGCCTATATGGCCTCTTGTTCCAGCAGCCCTTTTTCCCACTTCAGCAATTGTTTCTTGCTGTGGTTGTCCCACCTGATGACGGACGCTTATGGTGTGCCCGAAACGTCGTGATTTAATTTATTTTATTTTATACCTAGGTGACTTTACCGAAAGAACTAAAGAGTATGGATACAACTAACCATATCGCACATTACCAAATAAAAGTATACATATTTTAAAAGGTAACTGATTCACAAGATAATGTACTACTGAAGTCACTTAATATTGCTTAATAAGTGCAGCAGCAATATTTCAGTGTTGTGGAGAGATAATTAAACTTTATCCAATTAATATGCCGACAATAATCACTGGTTATCTACTTGGCGTCAATTTGTGGTGAGAGCCATGCAATTGACCGACATGCCGAGCTGGTTACAAAGGACATAAGTTCAAAGTGTTTGACCTGGAATTGAGCACAATTTTTTCCCTGTAGCTCCTTGTGAAACTAATTTAACATGGCTCTTTAACAGAAAACACTAGTGTTGTTGAGTACTGTACATGATGCATAGAGTCCAGTTGCTGTTCATCGTTGCACGATTGGGAAGATGACATTTAATTTAAAATCTGTTTGTTAGTTCCCATTCCATGGAAATCATAACACTGCAATTTACTCACAGCGCATAGTAAGTCTAAAGAGAGATCGATTAATTTTGCAATGGTGAAAATATTCTTAGCTGAACGTGATTAAGACAATTTGTCCATTTGGATATTCTAATTTGTTTGATAAATGGAGCTCTCCCTGAAGGAATTAGCTCATAAGCTCATCTCCATAAAGAATCATGTTCATTAAATGCACTACACAGAGACTGGCAGTGCGTTCCACGAAGCTACAATGTTGAGAACAGGTTTCCCTCGCGTTACACAACTCCCCAAAAACGCAAATTCGCAGTTACGCGATTAATATTTTAGGTTTCAGAGTTACATGCTCAATAAAAACCCCAAAAATAGTAAGATATTTATTTTTTAAATTAACATTATTGCTCACTGATAAAAAGTCAAAGTAAAAAAATATATTTCTGATGGCGTCACTGCGTCAAGGTAGCGCCCAGCGTTATGGGCTGGGCAGCAAGTGGCCCAAGGAAGCGTTCAAGAAGCACTGAAGTTACTCCTCATTAAGTAATCTTTGAATGTAATAATCTTTTTTATATTAATTATGGGTATTTGTTAAATTTCTTAAATATTTTTTTTGTAATGTTTACATCATTAACTATTACATCTATACATATTTTGTAAATCCAGGGCTACAATTATTAAATGAATAACTTAAGTTTTCTTCGGTAACGTACCCCTCACCCCCACCCCCGTATAACATGCATGTCTATGGGAATATATGCTTCGTGCAGCGCCATTCGACTTGCGTGCTGTTTTTCAGGAACGCATGTTGCGCATAATGCAAGGGACGCCTGTACAGCTCTCCGTCAATCCACTGTGGAATGAAGGCCTCCCCCACACTGTCGGTCATGGAGGAGGTTTCACCAACCTTCACCATACTGGTCAGTGTGGGTTGGTGAAGGCCAAAGCCCAGAAACAGTTTGAATATCATACACTACTGACAGTAGCAAACAAACTCAGCTTGCCAGGTTTGCACAAACTTATTTATCCATTTCTTCCCTTGCAAATGCTCCACTTGGGAATTCTGTCCCACAGGCTATTTTGCCAAGTTCCCATAACCTTGCTCAATTTACAAAAATGTGTCGACTGTCACCCATTATGACTTTAATAGTTCTGTTTGCTGGTAGCCACTTGACGTTTTGGACCTTTGGGCCACTACTCAGCAACTGTGTTCGGGAATAAAAATACCTGCGCCACCGCTCCACCCTAAACCGGCTTCCAGGCCTCAACGTGTTCTATGAGATTTCCACAGCGATCCGAAGATAAAGATTTGTTTTTGACAGAGTGTCCTTTATAGGCCGGGGCGTCTCAAAGAGTGCTTTTACACGCAAAACGAGCAACCTGCATCTCATCTCATTTCAAACATACAGATGATGCTCAAATGCAGTGCGATTGCTGTGTGCAGGGTACCGGTGAAGACGGGGTCGATCTGGAAGGGGGTCTGCCCATTGCTCGTGCTGCACATGTACTCAATCCAATTAGTGGCATTGCAGTCCTTGGCGTCGCGCCCACACAGCAGCCCCAGGGCCTTGTCGTTGCTGGAGGGCGACGTCACGTCCTTGCACGAGTTGAACATCCCTGCAAAATCGGGCCAGCGCACGGCGTTGAGCGGCGATACTGATCAGGAATTTTGCCACGAGTAAAGATGCAGCCCTGCAAATTTAACTTGCTCACACCACTGGTGGTGGAAAGGACTCCAAATACAAGGAGCTCGAGAGAAGTCGATAGGAGCACCGAAAATAAGGATAGGTGGTGTACTTTGTTTACATTGCCTGCCACGCACGGTACGAAAACCAACACACATACATAATTTCACATTAGCAGATGCATGAACACAGTAATTACAGAAGAAATATAACAAAATATTCCTCCAGGTAAGAGATCTGCAGACCAACATTCGGGTTATTCTTGCGTCACTAAAAGTATATTTGTGTCATTAAACCCTTTAGGGATCCACAGAGATCACAAGGTTGAGAAGTCTTGCCTCAAACTCCACAAAGTCAGAATACCCCACATTACTGCTCTCAGTTTCAGTTCTAGAAAAATAAATGAACGAAAAATGCACAATAACAAATTGGTCTATCGAAACCCTCAGGCACTGCTTGACCCCTTACCACACCCACTGTCAACTCCTCACCTCTCAACCCGCATCCCGACCCCCATATAACCTCTACTTCAGAAAAAGGGGTTTATGTTTTTCTTCCAAATGAATTTATGGGCAAGAAAACTGTTGACTTCCTATAAAGTGGAAGTATTTTTGATTTAAACTGAAGGTATTAGGGTTGCGAGTGATCCAATCTCAAGGACGAGGATGTTATTTTGACCGTACAAATATTGGATTATAATTAACTGTACAATAACCTGTCACATCCGATTAGCACGGTTTGCTATGTAGTGTGTGAAAGAAGTTCAACATACGTAACCATTTGGTCAATATGGGTTGGTGAAGTGGTTGCACAGGACCTGTTTGGATGTCACTCGCCACTGTCAGCCACGCTAACAACGGTGCCACAAGAGGGAAATCTTCATTCAGCAATGGGCTGAGAAAGGGTCTTAACAACCGTGACCATTTAAATGCCCACTCAACAAGATCTCCAATTGGAAGTTAACGAACAGCAAATTCCCATGAACTCACCATTTGCAAAGGTTTTAGAGATGTAGTACTGAAGTCTGGTGATGCTCGTTCCTGTGGTGTTGGAGTATTCGGTCTGTGTGACGTTGAGGAAAGTGCTCTGGTTGACGCTGCACGTCAGCTCACAGTAAAAGGTCATTAAGTTGTAGAAGCAGGAGGGGCATCTGCAACACACCATACGTGCATTCTCATCATTAAAGGCAGTTAGCATGATAAATGTACAAAATCTCTCCCTATATATAATACATTCTAAAGGCAATGTATGAATGTTATTCATCAAGAATTGTTTTATTTTCCTGCTTTACAAATAATCGACCTTTCGAGCAAATGCAGCTACAGGCTGAAACTGCGAGTAGTCGTAGTCAGTTTACTGTTGGGCAGCGACGGATGTGCTCGGCAGGTACACTACCTGGACAGGAACTGCAAGGGCAACGCCATGTTCTCCTTGAGGGTTCTCAGCTGCTTAACGTTGCAGCACGTGGACACGTTCTCCTGCACCATGCTGGGACACAGCTCCTGCAGCGGGATCCAACACGCGCTCAGTGTTACCCCACGACGCTGCTTCCCGAATGTTTGTCACACTAAGTCGGTACTCACCACCTGAAATACATATTCTTTAAGATATTCTTTGGGTATTTCGGTAAAGCCACGTAGATAGAAAAAAAATATCACAATGTTTCGATCGCAATGCAAGCAATCGTCATCAGGTGAAAAAATAGCGAGAGCTGCTGAGGCAGGATGTTCTAAACGTGAAAAAGTTAGACGGTGACAAGATTGTTATCAATCAAAATAACAGCCCAATTTCCGATAGCCTAAAATCGGTTCGAGCTAAAGGGTTGAATTCCACAGTCACCCCTAAGCACATCCCAGTTGATGATATCATTGCCCAGGTCGACGTAGCCCTTGAGGGTTTGGGGGACATTCCTGCAGACATGGCAAGATCGGATAACCCTGCAATCCTCAAAAATGCTAAGACACCTATTAGCAACATCGGCAAGGATGAGCGCCTTGAACTCTCTCAACTAAAATAGAGAGATGACATATTCATCCTCTCAGCCGACAAGGGCAATGCCACTGTCAAAACCACATACAACAACAAAATTCAGGACTTACTTAATGATGGTAGCTATACCAAAATCAAGAGATCCCACTAACCACCTGGTTATGAAAACCAACAATGTCATCACTGATTCGACATCTTTAATCGAACCAACCAAGCAGCTTTCCTTGAAACCCTCTGCTGCTAGACCATCCAGATTTTATTGCTTACCAAAAATCTGTAAAAAAGATACACCACTTCGGCCTATCGTCTCCACCATTGACTCACCCACCTACAACTGGCCCAATTTCTGTCTGAGACCTTACAACCATTCACTGGTAAGACCACCTCAGCTGTACTTAACTCAGCTCACTTGGTATCGTTAATTAAGGATATCTCACTATCTCCAGGTGATTGGCTTGTCACAGTTTCGATGTAGTATCTTTGTTTACCAAAGTTCCTGTTCCTGATAACATTGCAATCATTGAAGATTTGGTCCAACAAGGACTGAATTCTGATGTACCGGCCCTGGTCAGACACTGCCTCACCAACACTTACTTCACCTGGAATGGAACATTCTACAAACAAGTTGAAGGTACCCCTATGGGTTTTCCCTTATCTCCAGTTGTAGCCAATGTTTTCATGGAGAAATTTGAGACAGATGCTATCCAGGCATCCACCCTACGTCCTTCCTTGTGGAAGAGATACGTTGATGATACGCTCGTCATCTGGCCACATGGCCTACCAGCTCTGGACCAAGAACAATCTGATGAACCAATCAAAACCATCACCTTGCTATACATAGCAGGGGTCAAAAAGATTTCCAAGATCATGAGCAAACACAAGATCCAGGTTCGATTCAACACAGTACATAAATTTGTGTCTGTGAAGGATGTGATCCCTGACATGCAATACCCCGGCGTCTACAAACTAAGCTGTGTCTGCGGCAGTTGTTACATTGGGGAAACTAAGTGACATGTCTCGGACCATGTTCGTGAACACAAGGCAGATCTGAAACACGGTAGGACCAATACCTCAGCTATGGGTGATCATTGTTTTAATGCTGTGGGCACACACGAAATAGATTTTTCCAAGACGAAGGTACTCTGCAAACCCACTGGCTATCAGCAAAGATTCGTTCATGAGCCATCCAGATATATAAACACAGACACAATTTCAACCAAGAAGATGGGTACAAACTGAGCAACCATTTGAAGGACGTTATTAACCAGGTTAAGTCATAACTGGCTGTGATGTTTAGTAGTTATTTTCGACTCTTTGGTGTTACATTAACAGGTTAAATTCCGTTACATTAACAGGTTAAATGTCTAACACAGCCATCGTTGCTCGTTTTCCTTGATGTGGCGGTGGCTCTACGATCTTACATTGACATGCTATCTCTCACAATACAAGGGCCACCTCCGCAGCTTTGTCGTCGTGGAGGTTGCCCAGCTCTATCCAATCTTACATTTACATGCAAATTGCTTCACTAGCCCTGCCCACTTCGCTTATGACCCTTGGGCTACACCCATCTCAAACCTTTATAATATCCTGCCTCAGCAGCTCTCTCGTTATTTTTTCACCTGATGACGATTGCATGCGCTGCGGTTGAAACGTCATGACATTTTTCTATCTACGTGGCTTTACCGAAAGACCAAAAGAATATGAATTCCTGCAGTCATGAAAGTTAAGTCATATTCTTTAAGACCTTGATAAACAAATCATCAGCCATGATCAATCCACTGCTGGAGGAAGGCCTCTCTGAAATCTGTTGCCATCTCGTGGTCCTGCGATGTAGAAATTCATCGAGCTTCTTCACAGGAGCCAATTTAATCGATTCATATCCAACGTGACCTCGGACATGCATCCTTTGGCTCCCTCACAATGCTAGACTAGACCACCGGCCATGATCCCATCTACCTATGACATGTCCTGCCCAATCTTTCTTACATGTATTCACAGTCGAAATTGCCATTAAGAAAGTAATAATGCTAAGTAAAATGTTAATTTAGCAGTTAAACCAAACGACACACCAACCTGGAATGTGACTGTACTTGATCGAATTGAATGTAAAGCAGTTAGGATCATTGATGACGTTTCCTTCCTTAGCCGCTCGAGGTAACCTCACACGGTGTATGAAGTACGAAATCGCGCGTAATAAAGTCATCAAGAGGGGAGGGGTACACATGGCATCACACAATAATGTCATCTCATTGATCAATAAGCTTTTATCATATAATAGGGTTTTCCCCTTTTTTTCTGGCAGCAAAACTGAAACCTTTTTACAAAGATTCATGTCAGCATTAACCACAATACCTGCAGTCAAAATAAAAAACAAAAAACATACTATGATAATATATGCATTGTCCTTGAAACGGATTGGTCCACACCAACGGACGGCTTTCTTTTGCGCCTCGACCCAATTGGTGCTCGACCAGATGACGCCTTTTGGCATCATCTGGTCGAGCACCAATTGCCTTTCGTCGTCATCTGGTCGAGCACCAATTGGGTCGAGGCTCAAAAGAAAGCCGTCCCTTGGTGTGGACCAATCAGTTTCAAGGACAATGCATATATTATCATAGTATGTTTTTTGTTTGCATTTTGACTGCAGGTATTGTGGTTAATGCAGACATTCATCCTTGTAAAAAAAGGTTTCATTTTTGTTGCCAGAAAAAAGGGGAAAAACCCTATTATTACATTTTGGTACTGGCAAAGGAGGTCTAATGATGTAAAAGCTTTTATCATTTAAGCGCTGGTTTTCATCACCAATTTTTGGGAAAACCGTTGATAAATGTGGCTGGTTTTGCCATGACAATTCCCTAAAAACAGCGGAACTTTATATCCACTCAGACGACGGAATCTTCTACACGGGAGCAGGAAAGTGTCATCACTGAGCAGAGATCCACGAAAAATGAATACTTCTCGATTATCCGCGATTTTTAATAATCCGCGGCTGTCCTCACCATCATTAGATAATAGAGTCTACTATATTTATAACGCAATTTTTTCATAACATGGTGTTCTTCAGGAACCCAAATGGCGCCTTATAGGAAAACATACCATATTTTGCTTTGGTGTTAAACAAATACAAAAAAAGTAATCTCATTCGGTGTCCAATCTGTTACCAAAATGAAAGAGTAAGCTACTCTGCCTCATTACAGATTCTCACGGTGAATTTAATTTCCCCCATTATGTGAGGACGGTCAGATTTGTTGGTGCAGCCATTTACCTTGAGGAGTTCGTAGCCTTCGTGAGGAAGAGGCTTAGCCGTGCCATTGTAGAAGCAGTTGTAAGCCTTCTGGGTTTGTGGATTCAATCCACACTCTCCGTACCACACACAGTAATCGGGCAAGTGCACCTGGTTCCTATCTTGTTCCTGCCGAAACAAGAAGACGAGTAAAAACGTTGGGAAAAAACATATTTCATCGTCACGTGCGCCAACAAAGAAATACAGTCAGAATACAATGTTAATAACACAACATACATTGGATTTGTATAACAACTTGCAACAACATCTCACGATTCTGTACAAAAACAGTGGGCATTTCTATTTTGCAGACACATTTATCAGCAGAGGAAAAAAGGAAGGCCTTAAACCTGGATTTGAAGAGGCAAGGAAGTCGAGAGCATGGATGGCAGGGGGAACGTAGTTCTAGGCTCTGGGACCAACAGTGGAGAATGAGCTACCTCCCACTGAAAGATTGACTGGAAGCTTCCAGAGTAAGCATTGGTTGATCGAGCAGAGAGTGTATGTGGAGGGGAGTAGAGTGAGATGGGAGGGAAGAGGTGAGGGAGGACAGAACAGGCAGGGCAGCAGTGAGATGGGAGGGGAGAGGTGAGGGAGGAGAAGACAGGCAGGGCAGCAGTGAGATGAGGGTTGAGGTGGTTAGGGAAGAATCCGTGGAGAATCTTGGATCATCCGGAGTTTGGAATTGAGGACGAGACTGCGTCATTACTGAATCTGAGATTTTAAAAAGAGATTGAGTTAACGGAGTCAATGGCAATCTCTCTCTCTTGTATGGCTGACGTAGATGCAGACCAACAACCAAAATTTCACAATTCCAAATTTCAAGCTTTCGTGACTGCAAGGATTCATACTCTTTGGTTCTATTCAGTAAAGTCACGTAGGTAAAACAAATTAAAATAAATTTAAATAAAATAAAAACAATTAAAACACGACGTTTCGGAGGCAAAGCAAGCTTCCGTCTTCAGGTGGGACCAGTCACAGCAAAATCGCTGCACCAGATGGTGCACCATCGATATAAGTTGAACATGGAGGGGTGGTTGATAAAACGTATAAAAACGACTCCTAAGCCTGCCAGGTGTATCTCTGAGCGTTCAGCTTTAACAAAGAAGCATGGAAACTTTAGACTCTCCTTGTGCGGAGAGTATTAACGAGCAGCAATAACTGCAAGGGTATTAATTTGCCGTGGAAACAAGGTCTAGGAGGTACAGTGATACGAATTTGCTTCTCTTGCTCCTCCCCCTTCTCTTACCTAAATAGCCTCTTGTTACAGCAGCCCTTTTGCCCACTTCAGCAATTGTTTCTTGCTGTGGTTGTCCCACCTGATGACGGACGCTTGTGTGGCGCCCGAAACGTCGTGATTTAATTTATTTTATTTTATACCTACGTGACTTTACCGAAAGAACCAAAGAGTATAGACAATCAAACCCAAACAATTCCAAAGGTGCCTTAGTTTAAAACTTGGGCACAAATACTGTTCAAGGCCTATAAACACGAAAAAATTGCTGGATTGGATAACTGTCCATAAATAATGAATATTCATCACTTTCATGTTCATATATAGGTGTGGCATGTATTTATATTGGCATGTAATTTTTTACGTGCTGTCCTGGACAATTATCGTAAGTAATGGTAGAATTTTTCAAAAAGTTTTTGGAAATGTGAGATTAATAATTGTTTTGTATATGCTCTGTCAGCAGAGCTTCAGCAATAAAAAAAAAGTTGGGTCACAAAACACTATGTAAAATAATTTATAATGCCATACCCCACTTGGATTTACATACAAGCCGATTATAGCTGGTTATTCTAACCATAAACATAAAAGGTTAAAGTCTCTGCCCTTTGTTGCGGTTCTAAAGCAACGAGTGAACCGTTTATGAGTTCCCTTTTGAGGAATTGCTCATAGTGTTATTATCACTGTAACAATTGTTCCTTAAATACGGAAGAAAAACCATGCACATGCATGGCTTCTGTAACACTTGCAAACACGCATTTGTCTAAATGCAAGGAGTTGCCTTCTGAGCCACACGAGATGGCTGTGGAGAGGGGAGGCGCCTCAAGACGTGCGATGATGTTGCCTGACCCAAAGAGCTCTTCCATTTATTGCTGTTTTGTTGTACTGTAGTGACATCAGGGATGCTGTGTGATGCCGGCTTTAGCATAACACGGCGTGCGATGCACCGTCATCGCGTACACCCTGTAGGCGGGTGTAGGATCAGCCCTAGCGGGGCTTGTTGAGCGCTGAAATAGCGCGGACACCACGCATAGCGTGTAGTGCAGGCTCCCACAAGGGGGAGCGGGAGAGTGTCAGCCCAGGGGCAGGGTTGCCCCGGGCTATGGCACTCTGGTTGACCCCGTAGACACGTGATCTGGAGTGTCCACAGAGAAGGCTCCAGGTGCGGGGGCTAGGGGGTGATCACGTGTCCAGGGAGCTCTCGAAAGGGATCGAGAGGGAGCTGGAACACTCGCGAAGGTGGGCAGGGCAGAGGGCGGAGCCGGCCCCGACCCGGGAGGATATAAGGTAGGTCCCTGAGAGGGACCGGGGTCGCTTCGTTCTACAAGATGGAAGCTCTACGTTCTACGTCCGACGTCTGAAGAGGCATCAACACATGGCCGGGGACCCGAGTGAGAGTCCAACCCTTCGTAGCTGTAACTCCTATGTATAGTGTAGTTAGCTGGGTGGTCACCACCCCAGGCTGTATCTGGTAAAGGGCCAGTTACCCCTTTGTGTTAACGTGTTGATGTTAAATAAATGTGTTGCCTCTAAAGAATAGCGTCTGCGACTCAGTTGGACTCGCTACAACTGGTGTCGGAAGAGGTTAGCGTCTTGCACAGATGCTGCACCATACCAACCGTCTGGGGGTGGGTATGGCGACATGCGGATTTTCTTCGTACCCAACAGGTCGCATACTTCCCGCAGTAAAGTGGAAGAAAACATTTTCCCTTGATCAGTCAATACACGCTCAGGAGCACCCTTGTCTAAGACGTAGCAACGGAGAAAGGCGTTGGTGATGGCTGTCGCCGACTGGTTGGGGAGTGGCCAGGCCATAGGCCAGCGTGAGAAATATTCCACCCCAACCAACAAGTACTTACTACCCCGGGGGGTAGCGGGAAAGGGACCAAGGATGTCCAGAGCTACAAGCTCATTAATGCGGGACACCTAGATAGATTGCAAGGGCGGACAGGATGGCTTTGCTGGCGGTTTCCATTGCGCACACTGCACGCAGCCCTGCAGCAAATCAGCCACATCCTTTACCATGCCTGGCCAAAAGAAGTCAAGCTGGAGCGTGGCAAGGGTCTTGTGTACCCCCAAATGCAAAAGGCGCTCATGGACAGCCCATACAGCCTTACCCCGCAGGGCGGTGGGTACGACAATCTGGTATCGACGCACGCTGCCATCCCATTTCAGTAAGAGGCCATCGCGCAAGATGACGGACGCGACTCCCCCACGGCCCTTATCCCCCTCGGGCCTCAGAGCGTGGCGGCGCAACCTTAGGAAAGAAACGTCCTCCATTTGGAGTCGTCCCCAATCAGCGAGGTCGAAGCCGAGAACGGCATCCCGTGCGACAGACTCGTCAGCCACCTGACGAGTCTTGTCGCACCCACCCCTGAGGAAGCCATTTCGGCCAACACCGTGAGGGATGGGGCGCGAACTGTCAACTGGCTGCTTACACCGCCGAGCCCAAGAAGCATGCGCACCCGTCGCTCGGTGGTAACCGCGACAAAGCGTCGATGTTCGAGTGTTGGGTACCCTTCCGGTAGGTGACGGTGAACAAATAGTCCTGTAGCGCGTATTGCAGCGCCGCGTGATCAGACCAAACCGTAAACTATCTGCCATAAAGATATGGCCGGTATTGCTGCACAAAAAAACTGATGGCAAGCAGCTCACGGCTGCCATATGCAACAACGCATTCTACCCCGTCCACAACCTGTGACAAAACGCCGCCAATGCCAGTGTTGCTGGCATCTGTGTCGAGGATGAACGGCGCAGTAAAGTTGGGGTAGCGTAGGGAAGGGGCATCAACCAACGCCTCATGAAGCGCGAATGAAATTTTTGGCCTTTGGCCGTCAGCGTGTGGAGGGGCTTAGCGATGGAAGCAAACCCCGCCACAAACCGACGATAAGATGCAAACCCGATAAAGCTCTGCACCTCCTCCACCGACGTGGGGGTCGGCCACATCCGGACGCAAGCCATCTTCTCGGGCATGTTGTCAGCCAATCAGGCATTGACACCGACCCGGAGGTCAGTGTCAATGTCTGATTGGCTGACATGCCCGAGATACCGCACGGATTCCCGCAAGAGGTGACATTGTTGGGGCTTGAATTTGAGATTGGTCGCTCGCATTTTAATAAAAACAGCCCTCAAGTGATCTAGGTGTTCCTTAAATGTGCGGCTAAAGACGATGACATCATCCAAATATATCAGACACGAGTCCCACTGAACCCCAGCCAGGACCAGTTCCATCAGACACTAGAATGTCGCTGGAGCAGAGTGGAGACCCATCGGGAGCCGGTTGAATTAAAAAAGGCCCGGTGGCGTGCGGAAGGCCGTTTTGGGCTTGGAGGCCTTGTCCGGAGGCCTTGTCCAGAGGCAATTGCCAAAAGCCGGACAGAAGGTCCAGTGTGGAAAAATAACGTGCACCCGCCAGGGCGTCCAGGGATTCGTCCATCCGAGGAAGGGGATGTCAGCTACTGAAATTTTATTCAGTTTGCGAAAATCCACACAAAATCGCAAGCTGGCATGATGTTTTTTAACGAGGACGATCGAGGCCTCCCACGGGCTGGTGGATGGCGAAATGATGTCCCCTCAGCCAGCATGTCATTAATAGCCAATCGGACATGCTCCTTCTCCGCCGAACTCAACCGATAGGGGTTCTGCCGGATGGGAACGGCCTACCTGATGGTGGTGAGCCACCGGGCGGCCGGGCAGTGTGCAGCTCGGCCGGCGGCGCTTCTCCTCCCCCCTCCGGTGCTGCCAACCCCGGTGCTGTTGAGTCGTCCTCCTCTTCCACTGGAGCCCTGGTACAAATTTTTCTTTGCATCTCCATCATAGTGATTCAGCTAACTATTTGGCCACTTCTGACGCCAGTTGTAGTGGGTAGAATGGAGAGCGAGATGTCTTTAGAGGCAAC